AACTCCAGAGTACTATATGTAGCCTGCCTATATTTGCAATCTTAGATTGTTCTTTTTTCCTGAGAGTTTTACTCCATCTTGTGTTGAGCCAGAAAATAATAAATAATCAGAGAATGAAGTGCTCCAAGATATCCTTGTTCAATTTATGGCCATTGGAGTTGCAAAGGCAGTACAACTTTTGAACTTGCTTATAACTTGTTCTTAAAGAAAATAATCCAAAGAAATCAAACTGAAGGTGAATTACTAAACAGTAAGGATCAGGGCTGTTGAATGTAGTCTTTTTGTTTGAATAATGAGCCCTAAAGATGACATCAAGAGAGAACCAGTTTGGTGTAGTGGATGAGGTGCTGGACTAGAAATTGTTGGACTGTGTATTCTAATCCTGCCTTAGATATGAAAGCAGCTGAGAGACTTTGGGTCAGTCACTCTCTCTTAGCCCAAACACGGCTGTTGTTGTTGGGAAAATGAGAAGTGAGCTCATTGTCTACACTGAGTTGAATCATGCAAAATAAAGGAGGGATGTAAATCAGTAAATATCAAAATTGTATTTGGACTAATCTTGAGGAACTCTTTAAGTCTACCTTTTTTGACCTTCCAACTCCAGGTATGGATTGCCACACCCAGTATTCCCAAATAATGCAATATGTCATCGGGAAAACACTAAATGAAGGAGATTGTTTTTTCTTCTGTACATTTGCTATGAAATTCTGTCGTATTCTCAATTCTGAATCTTGTTTTGCCCTACTTCATTCTATGACTTTTTAACTTTTTTCTTTTTAATGTTAAGCACCAAACATACTATACAGATTTTGTACAGGCTCGAATTGTGCCAAATGTTTCTAGGGCCTAGACATTTTTTCCTATCATCTTCATTTAGGATTATACAGATTGATTAGTAGAAAGCAATTTGGGCTACACTGGCAAATAAATAAATAAATAAATAAGGAGTTTGGGTCCACCCTTTCTGACTAACCCATTCTGTTAAAAGGCAGAAGCTTTCATGAGTCTTTTAATAAAAGGTGTTAGTTGGAAAAGGTGCTACCAGACTCATCTTTTGTCACCAAAGACTGACAAGGCTCTCCAAGAAGAACACCAAATTCAGCCATCTGGGTATACTAAAAAATTTACTTCATCATTATGGGAACATATATTTGCATATGGACTTTCTGATGCCATTTGAAAATGCCCCTTAATGGGAAGGAATATTTGCTTTGAAAGGATCAGTAATAAATTGTAGTAATAACTACAATTATACTTTTCCTTTTGAATGCCTCACAAAAATCACTCCAAAATTCTGCACTAGAAGATTACAGGTATTGGATTTCCTTAGCTTTAAATTAATTTGGAGGCTTGGTAATCTTCTCCGTAACAATGGGTGGTGGTGGTGGTGGTGACATTATTTCCTCTTCAGTTTGCAGAATACTGATCCAGAAATTCTCTCCTCATTGTTGCAATAGATTTTGTATTAAGATATACTTATAGCCCCTTAATTATCTTGTGACTACAGATTTATGTCCTCCTTTAAAAATGAAGTCTTCTAGCTCATTACTGAACTCACAAGCATTCAGTATTTAGCAGAAATCATCCTGAGAATTGCTGAAGCTCGATTTGATTAATACACACATTCATATGCTCTGATAAAAACAATCACACAGCATAAGATGCAGTGAGAAACTGTTAATTCTGCACCATCTGTTATTGGGATACAAATTGATTATTCTTGTATCATTTTAGGACTTTGCTACTCAAAATTTGCTGTTCCACAAGAATAAAACTTGCTGGGTCAGAGCAGCCTTTATGCAATTGTTGAGACACAATCCAATGGTGTATTTACATAAACAAAAATTGTTTTCATGCATCATGTAGAAAAGGCCCCCTGCCCAAGAAACCTTTGAAAACAGACTGTTAAATATTTATAGAGGGATAACATACAATTGTGAAGATAAGGTCCATAATGCCAAATTTCACTCTTTCCCAATGTATTTTGACAATAGTTGAAAAATGTCAAGCAGAATAAAAAACACTTGTCACTTCCAAATATTCCAGTCTCAAAACAGGTCTTTTTTTCAGTCTTCTGAGTTCAGTTTAAAAGAAGTTACTTTTAGTAATTTTGTCCAGAGATCAAAACAACACCTATATGTGACAAAACAAATTGCATTCTTTGCAATGGCTGCATGGAAGAGAGGAAAGCAGATGTTGGCAGATAGTCTGGTTAATATGAGAGGGAATGAAATGAAATGAAAAAAAAAACAAAACCTGGCCCTTAGCACCGTATTATGTTTAGGTGGCTTTAAGTTTTTGTTTTAGCTTGTAGTAAGATTGCTTTCTTCTAAACTTTTTCTAGACTTAGCCACTATCAAGCAAGAATCTGAGATAAGTCTATCCTGCCAGTTTACCAGGTAAATGCTGCTGTTTAAAAAAATGATTTGTGAAAGTTCGTGCAGATAAGGCAAATTGATTGTATTGTGATTTTGTATGCAAATAACCAAGCCCGGCTAATTCCCCCCAATACCTACATATAATCAAACCTAGTTAGTGCTTAGGTGCAAAACCATCAAGAAATCCAAGGATAGTAAGCTAGACTTGAAAATTAAAACAATATATCAACAGGAAGCAATAGCTAAATCACTTGACATTATTGCTAAGAAAACTGGCTATTTCAGTAGTCAAAAGTTGAGTTTTGAGTCTTTGCTTAAAGACCTGCACATGTAGGTGTAGTACTGTGCTTTACATATAAACGTTGCTAGTATGTTCAGGTAATGAAAACACAATGACTTTGACATATTTGATCTGTAGATGTATATGAAAGTCTTTGTGTTCACATACAGTACACATGTCCTTTGCATTTGAGGGTTTTTTTGTTTCTGTTTGTTTTTTGAGCTTTTGAAGATGTTATCTATAAAGGTTCTTCAATCCTGGTTAAGTTTACAGAGATCATTTTAAAATGCCCCAACTGCAAAAATGATATTGCTTTGAGACAGCCAGATCTAATCTTTTTCTTCTGTGCTACGTGGAGTTTAATTTGTCATGATTGAACTCTCAGCCTGTGCAATTTTTTCTTTTGTCCTTGTGAGCTCCAGCATGTTTTGCTTCCCAACTGCGGCAATACTCTATACAGGTAGTCCTCGACTTACAACCACAAGTGCGCCCAAAATTTCTGTTGCTAAGCAATTGTTGAGTTTGCCTCTGTTACGACTTTTCTTGTTGTTGTTGTTACAACTTTTCTTGTTGTTACGTGAATCACGGCAATTGTTAAGTTAGTAGTAACATGGTTGTTAAGTGATTCTCGTTACTTAGCTTGTCAGAAGGTTTTAAAAAGTGATCACATAAGCCCGGGATACTACAACTGTCATAAATATGAACCAGTTGCCAAGAGTCTGAATTCTGATTACACAATCATAACAGTTATATGAAAAACAGTCAAGTCACTTTTTTCAGTGCCACTGTAACTTCAAACAGTCACTAAATGAATGGTGATAAGTCAAGGACTACTGGTATGTTATTTCCATAGCTCTATGATGCCATCAAGAAATATATTCATTAACACAAAAATTAAAAATCAGGTTGAAAGCTAAATTGATTTTTTACTTTTTGAGAACAAAAAAAAAATATAGCAAAGAATAAAGCTGTAATGGTACGGCATTCTTAATAATGTTCAGTCACTGTTCCAGTTCCATTCTTTAACAGATTTTTGTGTTTTTGTTAAAAAAAACTCATCCACTGATAATTCCCCCCCCCCCGAAAGTTGTATGTCTGGTATCTTGATTACCATCCCATCTACCCTTCTTGTGCTGATATTGTTACATTTCTTTCAAATTGGTTTGCTAGAATTTTCTCCTGACATCTCTTTCAGTGCTAGCCCAAAATACTGAGGGCAACATTCTAGAGGTTTGGGCACCATTTTCTTTCTTCTTATCTATCCTGTACAGCAGTGGTTCTCAACCTGTAGGTCGGAACCCCATTTGGGGTCGAACGACCATTTCACGGGGGTCGCCAAACAACGCAGTCCGCCATTTTTTTCCCCTTTTCCTTAGCTGTGCTACTCCCTTTTATTCTATTGGCTTTTGAAAGCCAATAGAATAGACTCTCTTGAATAGAGTCTAATTCTATTGGCTTTCAAAAGCCAATAGGAATTGTCCAGCTGTCTCTGCCCTGCTGAGTCCGCCAAAAGTCCCATTCTGCAAACAGTGCTGCAAGTTGTCTGCAGCAAAGGCGAGCTGTCTGGAAGTTTCCACCCCTCCCTGCTGAGCAACTACTAAAAATGTAAGTAAAAGAGAGCCAGGGGTGGGAGATGGGAGGCTGGCGGGCACAGGGAGGGTTGCTGGCACGCATGGGGCCCGGCGGGTGCCTTACCTCCCTTGGGCTGGGCCAGCTGGTGGCCCAGCCGGTGGTCGGCCTGCGCCATCTCTGCCGCTTGCCAGCTATGCCTCGGCCGGCGCAGGGGGAGGCACCACACATGCGCAGTGCTCCCAGGAAGGGAAAGTCCTCAACTTACGACCGGTTGGGTAGTCCTCAACTTACGACCAGTTGGGTAGTCCTCGACTTACGACCGGTTGGGGGTCACGGCATTAAAAAGGTTGAGAACCACTGCTGTACAGAGATGTTTTCTATAGTGCTTTAAAGCACAGCATATCATATGCAGGATCAGGTTTCTTAGGTTTCTTAAAACTCCGTATCACAAATGTTCATCTATGTTAACCTATAATTCTTCAATTAAGAAAATCAATAAATTGGGATTGCCATAGGATTCTACTTTTAAGACTGAAGTATTCTCCATTAAAATATTAAGTATTTGTTTTGGCCATATTTTGCTTTTGTTAGCTACTCTTCCTCCTTTGTCTTGAAGCCACTATAAGGATTCTTTGTCTCTCCTCCAGTTCTCAACAACTTAATCAACAGTCACTAAGCTGACATTAGAATCTGATAACAAAGGAAATGTAAATTACCTTAGCAAAGCACAAAGCTGGGCTGGTCCACTCCTATAATTCACAAACCAAGGCAACAAGCAACAGTTTTTTATTCAGTCTTTCAAACCTTTATCTTATTGGTTTTAAGCAAGAGACAAAAATGTCTTGAGGTCCAGCAGGAAAAATGGCCATCTGAATTTAATGGTAATACATTAAGAGGAGATAAAATTGGAAAATAGTTACATAAGTACATGAGCCAAAAAGAAAAGGTTTATATGAGAAAGGTACTGTCAAACATGCAACAGTATAAATTCCTTGTCCTGAGGAGGTGGAGTGAGGGCTGAAACAGAAAATTAATTCTAAATATCATACAGCCTTTCTCTGGTCACTTCCTTTTTTTAGTTCTTCTTCAGACCTGCTGGTGATGACCAATCAACCCCTGATCCACTGAAGCTTAGAAATTATCCCAGTGGAATGAACCTAAGCGACTAGGTTATCAAGAATATAGGCTAAAGGTTTCCATTTTCTCAGCCCATCAAAACAACTTTAAACCTTAATATGACTAAAAATCCAGAGCTATAGGCAGCCAAAATATCTTGATGCCTGAGGTAGGAACTCCACGTACCACCTTTCTATGCATTTATAGAGGATATTGGGAATGTTCTTGTGCAAACCTCAAACAAATGAACTGAAGAGTTCCTTTTGTATTACTGTTCATTTCACAGGTACCTGCTATGGGGAACTTCCCAAAACTGTAGGTACAATGGGTCTCGAGGGCACTGAAGCACCTCTATCTGAGCTGGCCAGTTTATATACTTTTGGTTACACAGTTTATTCAGCCCTCTTCTATCTTTTTACTGAAAACCTAATTTTCAAAAGGGTTTTCTTCAGCTTTAAACAAGCTCACCATCTTTTTAAGACTCTGTGTAACACTACAAAGATACGAGACCAAATATGCGAGCACCAGGATTCTGGCACCACAACCTTCCTTTAAAGCCCTGGTGCTCTTCACAAGTCCCTGTTACAAATGTAAAGCATCACAACAAAAAGAAAAGAAAAAACCCTTGCATAAATAAATAGCAGAAAAAAGAATACAATGGCAAGATAAAAATATATAGATATAAATATAACACAGAATAACAAACTTTAATAAATTAAAAGTCTTCTCTCAGGTCTGGGAACAGAAATGGAGGAAGGAACTCCAACAGAATTTGGCCACCAGCTTTCAAGTACCATAGGAGGCTCCAAAGATGGAGTCATATAAATATTATAGCATTTGTACACGGAGATTGGTTTATAAATGATATCAGTTGTAACATAGTTCTCAAAGTTATCAAGGGGGGGAGAATTTGGACCCCTGTACATCAGCAGGACTACCCTTCTGATGTACATCTAGAAGCAGAAATAAGGCATACAAGTATTACCATCACTATTTCTGCTCTTAAAGAATCATGACAAAATCCTTATACAAACCTCACCAAAACCAACAAAGAGCACAAAAGAATTTATGTTCATTTCACTCAAACTGCCAGGCTGTTTCAATAAATTTTAATAACTAGATCAGATCCATCTCCATGTGGTAGCTGCCCAATAGTCAGATTCTCTGCCTGAGAAACAAATAGGAGAATCTGAATTAAAACATTGTTGTTGGTGATAACAGTAGAGAGGGAAGAAAATCCAGAGCAGCAGGCAAAGGATTATAAGGCAAGGAAAGTTCAGGGACATCTCAACAATACAGATACGGTCTGTTATCTTCTCATCTCACTGATAAAACCAATTATTTTTGCAATACAGTATTTGTCAATTCCATTATCCAAAGCATAAACTTTGGATGGTCACTGAAGTCAAGCAATTAATTAAAAGGGGCTGAAAATTATACAATTACAGCATCACTGCCAATTTCATGGAGATTTGTTTTGTTCCTAAACTTTCATGAACATGAAGGATTTGCATGTTTTTGAAAGACAGCAAAGATTTCTTTAGTTAAAGCAGTATGGTGAATTCTCATTTTTTAGACTCCCATTTAAAGACTTTGGATGCAAGAGACTAAATTTCAGTTGAATATCTCTCTGAATTAAGAAACATGTCTGTTGCATCTGAAGTAATCTGAAGAAGGAACTTAAACTCAGGCTAGTTTTACTTATCTTACAGAGTTTGCCTCATAAGAGATGAATCACAACTTAGTATGTAATTTGTGATTTGACATCTGAGATAAAATGGACACCTTTACCTCCCAATCAGTCCATTATACCAAGGTTCAAAACAAGTGTACACATAAAGACTGTTATTATGATTGAGTCTTACCTCTGTATTCAAACTTGGTGGCAGGTCCAAATTTAATCCTAAAATAAGTTTTCTGAGCATAGGAAAAGGCAGAGGTCAGGCCCGTCCTGTTCTCATAAGGAAGGGAAACACTTTAAAAGCTATCCAGATTGTATACCAGTTGTCCGGAAGTTAAACAAATAACCAAGAGAACCTAGCTGAGACACAGCGACTCCAATAGCACCACGGAGGAAGAAAATCACCAAGGGGGGTCTGTGATCCACCCTCCACAAGTCAGAATAAAATATGTTGCCTGCAATTTACTTACTGTTGAAAATTAGACACTTACAACTAGTGCAACAGATGTGGTTCCATTAGTAACTATTTTGTACTGACAGCTCTGTTAGAAATTTCAGCTGATTATAAAGGGATAAGCTAGAAAGAAAAGGGGTTGCCTCCTGAAAAAAATGCCACAGCTTAAGCCCAGCAATATTAGCCTTTTACCTACAAGTCAAGAATCAAAAGTGAGGAGGTTGGCTTGGACCAAATAAACTGAACTAAAGTGCTTCAGAATTTGTGTTGATTAAAATATATGCCCAAGCCAAATTAAAACAAAAAAATTAATTGCACACAATGGAAGTCTATGAAATAGCTATTGTTGCTCCATGTGATCTTACTGCCTCAGATCTTTTGAGGAAATCCATGAGTTTTGTCTACCTCAAAGAACTCTATTCATATTCTACCCAATTCAGTATCACCAGCGGTATATGAAATGTTCAGTTAGGGAGGCAGTAAAATGTACCCACCTCTCACTAGTATTTTGAAATATGCAGATAAATATGGCTAGAGATTTCATATCTGGTCTCAAGTCAGCCTGGACTATCTAAGGACTAGCATAATGTTATAATATCACTTGACCACTCTTATATTCTCAGATGTTATGTGAGAAGGTTAACATATGGCTTTGAATTCCAGCTTCAACTAATTATAGTTTATTACATGCATGCTTTCATGTAAACTCATGGTAATACAACTCTTACTGTTTTTCTAATGGCAAATCATGATGGAAAATAGCAATTGATTCTTAGGCAGGAGTCTTTTCTAGAAGAAACAAAATTTTTCATGGAGAAGAATTGTTATAAACTAGATAGGAAGCTTGCTTAGGTAACATGACCACAGAAAAAATTAGAAATGGTCTTGATATTTTGGTATTCCCACAGCCTGCCTGGTTGCCCTCCAACAACACTAGCTATTGCTACACAAGTTGGAATACCATCAGCATGAATCAGAATGCAGGGCAATTTATATCATGAGATTTGAACTAGCAGTCTGAGTACTCTGAGGTTTCAAGATCACTAAAACCAATGCAAGGGAGACGTTTGGTTGGAAACAGACATAGAACCCTATAGAAAAATAGGATATAATAAATGTCACGTGATGGTCCCAGATCGTATTATTACACAAAAGGGGAAAGTGTTGAGAAATAATTAGGATTGTAATTGTAATCCATAAAACCTGATTCACTTTTGACCTCCAAATGTTGTGTTCATAACTCATATTGTTTACCCAGGAAACAGCTGAGTAAATTAAGAATATGATTTCCTTAAAAGCAAGACACGCTGTTTTCTACATTGTGGGAGGATGCACCTCATTAATATCAAAGATCTTAAGGCACCATTTACAACCATGAGTTGGTAGTAGCACACTTTAACTATCAGTATGGGAAACTCAAATGCCCTTTCCTTGGCCTCTCCAAAAGGCTTGGACTTTAAATCTTTTGATTAAATATCATCATCCCTGAAAATAATCCAACTTCAGAAATGCTATCAATCCAAACAGATAAAGAATACTTTGCAATAAGGATTGAAGTCTTCCAGATGTTACAAAATCTCATTCACTCTAGCTAAGAAAACTAATGGAAAGGGATTGTGGATGTGACAGGTTGCCTGTCCCTACTTTATGGACATGTTTCACTATTGCTTCATAGGTTAGATTAAATTAAGTTACAGCTCCTTCTAGTGGCCATTTAATTAAAATGGATTTTTAAAAAAAAAAAAAAAAAACCTGCATGCCAGCTTTACCCAATCTATAAAAAAAGGCTGAGACTAAAGGGGGAAAAGTCAATAGCCATGTGCTTGTATATCCAACATTACTAAGGGAAGACATTTTTTCCTCCCTGTGTCTCAAAATAAAATCTTAACAGATGCAGAAGATGCCTAACTTAAAAGAACTTAAAAGAACTATGGATTCAAACTGCCAGATGATGTTACAGGTAGAAAATTGACCTTAAGAAACACACTGGGTTGATACCAAGAATTTTGGTATCCCAACTGATTGGGAAGTAATTCCTCTAGGCAAGATGACTTTGGACCTAGACAGAAGGATGCAACCAACTTAGCTCAGATTTGACATCATTCAGCACTCTCTTCAATCACTGATCACCTCTCCTCTAGATTAACCACAGCAAAAGGCAAAAGCGGGAATCTATTTTTACCTTAATCCTAAAATAGCCACCAAGGAGATTCAAAGATTCAAAAGTCTCTGGCAGGAAATCAAACTGCATGCACTATTATGTGTTCCTCCTTGGTGTCAGGTTAACAAATAATACTAGAAATGACTTCTGTCAAGCTGCATGATACAGAATTTCCTGCTACATATTTTAGAGCTATCATATGACAACCTGCCACATTGAGCAGGGATCTGGATTTATATAGGAAGGGCCAGCTAAACCACCTAAAATGGACCTCACCTATTCAGACATGGTTATATGTGCAGAGAGTCAGTCTTGGATGGTATGTTATTGGGAAGACAACTAATTAAAAGGCACGTGCAAGTACAGCATAAAGTACTGCACACCTCCAATTTATTCTGTAAGGTCACTTTGGCATCAGGTCTCCATTTACTCTCTCTGCCCAACCTCTCTTTAAACTGTTGACTCTCCTGCAGGTAATTTGTCAGTTTGGCTTTGAACACATCCGGTGTGTTTTGTTTTTGTTTTTACATGGACATTAGGTTTTTTTTTTTAATGATCAGAAACTACACGTAGAACAGAAGCCCCAGAGGAAAACCTGGGCCAAAAAACACTGAAATAAGCATATGAGCAATTTTTTAAGCTGAAACATCTTTGCAAAACTTCTGACAAGCTCAAACTGCCAGAAAATAAAAATATGCCATGATGGAACATTAAAAATATTTTGGCAATGCTATGTGGAATAAAAGATTCTGGTTCCAGAAGGATCAGAAATCAGGCTGGGTCTCTTAGCAACCAACATCTTAAGAAATGAAGTGGGCAGTAGACAGGGAGAAATATTTGGGAAATATTGATTAGGGAAGGGAAATGGGAAGAACCTGGCTGCTCCAGGGTAAATCTTCTTAGAAAGACTATTTAGCACTTGGAAGAGAAGGGGGTACCAAAATGGATGGGAAATTTGCCCAAAGATTTAGTTAAAAACAGAGTACGTTAGATACAGAAAGTGTATTGAGTGTGGCAATCCAATCTAGTTGCTCCAGACCATCTTCCAAAAGAATTGCTGAATGATTGAGTCTAAATTGGATTACTTCACTGACCACTCTTCCACATCAATGCTTGCACCATAATGACTGCAGGGAACCTGTCCCTACATCAAGACGAAGGGGGAATCATGAAACCGCAGGAGATTCGGCTGCTGCCTCATCTCCCTCTTCAGAATCCCAGACTTCTGACTGTAAGTAGTTAGCAAACAGGGCCTTGGCACGGTGAAGGATCTTGTTAAGATTGTGCCGGCGGACCAAGCGATCAAAATGCATGGCTAACTCATTGTAGTCCATGTTGTTTTTGATTATATGGTCTCGATGCTCCAAAAGAATGGCAAGACATAGGAAGAGTACGAAGGGGTTGCCTTTGCCAAATTCTTGCGGAGGAGGGAGGCTGACTAGGGCAGGAGGAGTAGAAGATGTAAGTCCATGGGAGGGAGAAGAAGGGGTATTAACTACTGAGTCTCCCTTCTCTTCCTCTGATTGACTTTCCTCATTGCCATTAGTTGAGGAGGAGACAGAATCTCGAGAGGGTGGGGTCAAGGCCCGAAGAGATGGAGCAGAGAAGGATTTAGCCATGTTAGTTGTCTGAATCAATGGATCCTGCTCACTGGTGCAATCTTCCTTCTCATCCACTGAGTGCTGAGATCTGGGTGACGGGTCATCCTCCAAACTGTCTTCATTATGAGCAATGTAATACTTGAATTCCCCAAAACTAGACTGCTTTACTAATACCTTCTCTTCAGCAACTGCTCCCTGGCACAGCCGATCCCCAGCTGCCTCAAAACTACAAGCTGGGCGTAGCATGTGTCTCCTTCGGACAGACTGGCTGCTGTCTCCGGGCCTGGCTGGAGGGCCCACCAATTCCACTTCCTTCTCTGGAGGATCAGGAGGAAAGGAACTCCATGTGATCTCCAGCATGCGCAAGGCATCCTCAAATGCAAACTCCCGTTTCAACTCCAACAACAGCCAACGATAGCAAAAGAAGAGGTCATCGGCACCCCGAGAGAGGAGGTAGGAGTAGAAATCTGGATCTGAATGGCGGAGGAGAAGCTTGAGATGGGTAAATTTAATTGACATGACTTCACCGTCTACCTGAAAGTTACCTTCCAGGCGTTTCATGATGCCACAGAAACAGATGAAGGCATGTGCTTCACTATCCATTACAGCCAGTATGGGAGAAGCAATGTCACTCATACCCTGACAGTAGGAAATCTGTGGGTGGGTCACAGCATAGGTGGTCAGCAGATCATGCAGAGCTGTCAGGTGAGGATTATCATCTGAACCAGCGTAGTAGGGATGAGTGCGATCTGTTCGCAGAACATCCTTCAGCACATTACTACGGATGAAATCCAGGTCTTCGGGATTGGTCCGTGCTTCCCATTCCCCCTTCAGTTGTTCATACTCACGTGTCTTCTGCTTCATGTAATCCATACGCTCCTGTCCAGTCAAGCCATCAGGATAGACATTCAACAAATATCTCCAAACAACCTGCAGAAATAGGGTAGATTCAGCTTGAAAAGCAACTTTCTTCATCAATAGTGACTAGCTGATGGATCAGCTATAGGAATAAATCTTTCCCCTATAAGGAGCGGATAACTACTACCAGCACTTAGGGAGGCCAAGATTATTGCTTCAGAGTGAAAGCAAAAGAATAGAAGGTTCTTCTCTTCCTCATTATATCTCGCATCAATCTCTCAAGACAGAATCTTGGTTCCCAAATGCCCGTTCTCACCTTGCGCAATGAAGGCTCAACTCCACCATGGAAGATTCGGAGGCGCAGTTCTGCTGGTCTTGACAACTGGCCTTCATGATTCAAATACGTATGGAACTCTGAGTCACTCAAAGGAGGTTTGAAAGGTTTGACATCCTCCCCATAGGACCAGCTGAGTGCCTGCTGGACCTTTGACAATGTCCGTCCCACCTGACAAAAAGCAAAAAAGAAAGCTGAGGTCAACAACAAACACTCAATGACTTAAAGCTGGAAGGAAAAAAAAAAACAAGCCACCCATCACAAATAGTTCCGTATTTTAATATGCAAGATTTTAGTTAACTGCTCCTTAAAAATTGGAAGCTTGAAGGAGAGTAATTAGTATCAGGCACAAGAAATCAGAAGCTGAGCTGATCAGAGTAATATGTTGTTACTGGATACTTCCTTATTGATAGGCCTCAATTTGTTACGAGTTGGAAGGAAAGTTTCCAATTCCATCTTTTTGAGTACAGGTTCCCCATAGGCCTGTGTCTTGAGTCCGTTACTGTTCACTTTGATGACCCATGACTGCTATTGCCAAGTCTGCTACAAATCATATTGTGAAGTATGTGGATGATACAGCAGTGGTGGGTCTTATCTGGGATAACAAAGATTCTTATAGGGAGAAGATGAAAGCTTTGGTGGACTGGTGCAATAAAAATAACTTGGTTTTGAATGTTAATAAAACAAAGGAGATCATTATTGATTTTAGAAAAAGCCGGCATAGTCATACTCCACTTTGTATCAAGGCTGCAGCTGTGGAGGTGGTCAACAGTATTAAGTATCTGGGGATGCAGATAACTAACAATCTGACTTGGTCTCTTCATACGTTATCCTTAGTGAAGCATGCAAACCAGTGTGTGCATTTCCTGCATCGGACGAGGAGAGCACATCTTTCTCCTTCTCTCCTGGCCACTTTTTAGAGAGGCACAATGGAGAGCGTTTTAACAAACTGCACCACTGTCTTGTTTGGTGGCAGCACTGCCTCAGATAGAAGGTCCATACAGCTGAGATTATAGGAAGCTCTCTTCCCATTATTCAGGATACTGCTTATAAGCGCTATGTGCTTAGAGCTCGGAGCATTGTTAGAGACCCCACACCCACCACTTTACAGTCTGTTTCTGTTGCTCCCCTCTGGGAGAAGATTTTGAAATATTTCTAGCAGGACTACTAGATTTTGTAACAGCTTTGCTCCTTCTGCCATCCGTCTTGTAAATTCACAGGATTATTTTTTTCCGCCATGTATATGTATTCATTCAAACTAGACTGTGATGTTTCTCTGTGTCATATATGTATGTGTGTGTGGGGGGGGTATGCATAATGGTATTTTCTGAGAGCTGAATGCAATGAAATTTCATTTTAATGTATGCTGATTAGTGTACATTTAAAGTGACAATAAAGTTTCTCTTCTCTTCTTGCTCGTCTATAGATAGGAATCTTGCCAGACTAAAGCACATGCTGCATAACTACTAGATAAATACTGCAAAGTTTCAGGGAGGATCTCTCTTCAGCTTCTTCCTTTCCGTAACGGACTCAAAGCTAGTCCTCAACTTAGCACCAGATTCTACCACATTTAAATTTTAATTGGCCAACCCTTTCTCCCAAGAGTTCTCTGGTAAAAGATATTTATGACAGACTGCCATCAGTCAGATCAATGTCCCGACTACTGGCAACCTGCATAAATATCTTTTACAGTCTGTTCATCTGGAGTTTTTAACCTTTTTGCTAAGGATTTCTCTCTTTAGCCAAGTTATGGAAAAAAGTAAAAAAAGATGCTTTAGATTTTTCTTTCCAATACGTGAAAGACAAAATTTAGTAAACCTTGTGGCAATCCCCAAAAAACAAGAGGGTCCTGAATGCATTTCAGAGAGGGTGACTAAAAGGAAATCATCTGGGCCTCTGCACAGATGTTGGTATGATGTTGAGCTTGCTTTGTGACTCCTCTTCCTTTCTCTTTCTCTCTTTCCACAGTAGACTCATTTTATACAGTACAGAGAATAAGCATAAACTGAGGAAGCTTTGGGGAAGCTGAGTGTTGCTCTTGCCAATTAAGCAAAATCTTCGTCCTCTTACATCTGACCTAGCTGCAAATTAGAAATTCCTAGTGACTAAGCAAACCCTCCTAAGGTCCAATGCTGAAATTATAAAGATGCAGTTTAATTTTCACCTGGGTCCCACTACATAAATAGGAGTATATGAAAAGCTAAAAAAAAGATGACTTCTTTCTATTCAAGCCTCCAAACATGACATCAATTTATAGGATACTTGAGAGGGCATTGCTGTGCCATACCGATAACTTGGTTCTTGTCACATCGAAAAGTGTGACACACGGTTAGAATCAATAGCCTGGGAAGACAGAAGTCTTTGGAAACAAATGGACCCTTATCATCTCCCGAAGTATCTGCCTTGCTGGTTTAATCTGACAGGGTTGGCATGCTCTGGGTCCAATAATTAAATAATGCCATTTTTCAGGACCCTTTGTAGCAATTCCTGCCATTTGAATGAGGTTCCCCATGAGAATCGAGTAGTCCCCAACCTAATTGGCATTTCAAAGGACCCTAAAGATGTGGCTCTTTTCCCAGGCCTTTGGTTAAGAATGATGCCCCTTTTCCTTGTTCCCATCTAGATTTGTTTTCTCTGCTATCCTTGTTTGTTTTCCTATATAGCTTCTTGTTACTTGCGTTTAAATGTTTTTAACAGTTTACAAACTACCCAGAGGTAGCATAATAATTATTACTACTACAATTATTGTTGTGTAATAATAGTATGACTATTACTACTATTAACGGTATAAATTTGTAAATCATCCTGAGTAGCATAATAAAGTATATTATTATTACTACTACTACTATTGTATACTATGCTGTAATGGGTACAGTTAAATTGGAGGATAATGGTATACAGGTATACAGGTAGCCCTCGAGTTACGAGTGTAATGGAGCCTGCCCTTTCCACTCGTAACTTGAAAACTCGTAGAGTGAATCTCGTTCCTTTAGTGAGATCACTCTCTTGCTCGTTAAAACACATGCGGCTCGTTAAGTAAACATGAGGTATCCGAGGGTGGGGAAGGCAATGGAGGGCCTAGTGCTGGAACAGGCCCCAAAGACCTCCCCGACCCACTAAGATACCGCATGCTTCCCCCTCCCTTCCTGCCGTGCCAGACTCACCTGGAAAAGATCCTTCTTCTCTCTACCGCGGTTCCTGCTGCCGCCTGTATTTGAGGCTGGGGAACGGTTCAGCACACCCTGTGCCACCCGATCCAGGCTTCGGTGGACTTTTCCAGGCTGTTGCATCCGGATGTAAGCCGGGGGAGGCTTTTGCGCCCCTCGCGGTCTGATCTGGGTTCCGGAGGCCTTTTCCAGGCCTGATCAGGCTACGGGGGGATTGCAGAAGTGTTCCCCGGGCTCAGAGACCTAGAGAAGACCTCCGGAGCCCGAATTGGGCTGTGGGGAGAGGGCATGAAAGCCTCCCCTGGCCTCAGATCCGGGCCACAGCGACCTGGAAAAGGCCTCTGGAGCCCAGATCAGGGCGCAGCAGGGGCACAGAAGGGTTCCCTGGTCGCAAATCCAGGCGGTAGAGGCCTGGAAAAGGTCTCTGGAGCCTGGATCGGGCCGCAGGGAGGTGCACGGAAGCCTCCAAGTGCTTGATCCACGCCTTGGAGGCGTTTTCCTAGCCGTTTGTGCCAGGAACGGAAGTCGGGGGGGGGGGACTTCTGCATGCCTCCAGAGGCTGGATCCAGCCCTCGGAAGACTGCTCGAAGCTGCTGCTGCCCAGAACGGAGCTTCCAAGGCAGAAAGGAGTTGGGGGCAGGAGCAAGAGACAGCCACCTTTTGCATAGAGAATGAAAGTCTCTGAGGTCCATGATTTAGCACAACTTCAAACACTCGCGCGAGGTCACAGACTCCAGAAACTTCCATTCTCGGTGCAAAAAAACATTTCCAAGCCGACTCTCCTTTCCTTCAAAGGGAAAGAAACGGCAGCAGACAGGATTTTTGTAAGGTGAGTGAGTCTGGCGCGGCAAGAAGGGAGGGGAAAGCAGTTGTGAGGAGTGTGTGTGGGGAAATAGGGTGAATGTTGCAGTGCCACTCAAATCACTCGTAAGGGCGAAGAACTGCCATGGTGCTGCAATATTTATAACTTCGGGACTTGCTCATAAACACTAGGGGGCGCTCATCACGTAACTTTGAGCGAGCGTTAAGTGAACACTCGTAACTCGGGGATTACCTATATTTTATGGTTTTGGGATAACTGACAATTTTTCTCCTCTATCGCTTTTTGTCCTAGAATCTAAATTTTTATTTATGACATTGATACACTTCATCAATCTAACTGCACTTTAATATATTAACATGGGATAATGCAATAATAGAACAGTAGAAAACAATATTTTCATAGAATAAAGCCCATTCTGATGGCTTCAGAATCAATTCTGAAAGGCCCTCTGGAAAAGATAGTTCCTTTACAATTCTCCAGAAAGCCCCACAGTGGGATCAATCTTCACTTTGGAGCATAAGCTGTTCCGTAAGACAAAGAGTGCTATACAAAGAATGCTGTTGTCAGGCCTCCTCATACTGCATCTCGTAGTAAATGGGGATCCTGGGAAGCCTTTCTCTGACTGTTCAGAGCAAGTAGGTAGATTTTACCAGAGAGAGGCGATCTCTTAGATCAGTGTTTCCCAAACTTGACAATTTTAAGGCATGAGGACTTCAACTCCCAGAATTCCACAGCCAGCAACGCTGGCTGTGGAATTCTGGGAGTTGAAGTCCACATGCCTTAAAATTGTCAAGTTTGGGAAACACTGTCTTAGATGTCCAGGCCCCAAGCCACCGAGGTCTTTAAAGAAAGCAACCAGCATCTTGAGCACAGAAACACCCTGCTTCCACAACAAGAGTATAATAGAGCAATATAGAAACTGATTCATAGGAATGCAGGCCACTGCATTTTGCATTATTAGATCTTGTAAATACCACCCAATGAAAATATAAGTTAGCAACTCCACTCCCTGAAGGCCCACCTGGGAAATGATGGACTGGGTGAAGGGCAGGGCTGCAGCTGCCAAAGACCTCTTCTCCACTAACAGCAGGTCGGTACTTATAACATCCTTAGGGCTGATAATATCCCAATCTTCTAGCAGGGGGCCTGAAAGAGTATGATATTGTGAGCACATTCCTCAGACCAGTTCTGCCAATCCCTCTCCCCTCTCTCCATTCTCACTTTTACAGGGACAAAGGTGTCTACCCAAAAGGATGCAAACTAGAGTTCATATACCTCATTATAAGAAGAATTTAACCCTCTCCCTTTTATCCCGATTTTCCTGTACCCGCACCGACCCTACCTTTCCCTTACCCATATAAAATCTAATAAAATATATTTTTTTAAAAAAGAAGAATTTAAAACAAAAGTTAGTGCAACTATTATGATTTACTAAATCATGAATTCACTTATTCTGGTTCTTTTGAGAAAAATAATATAGAGAGGGCCTTTTCAAGCTTATATTTCAGTCTAACTGCATTCTAAGTCAGCAGAATCGTCACCCAGAATTCTGAACTTGTGTCTTTGGCGACTGGAATGCACAGTGTTCTAAGCCATTTTAATTTTTGCATACCATGAGCTGGAAAGAGGTGCTGGTAAAGTACACTGTACAAAAAGAGGCCTGATAACAGATAGCTTTCAGGTGAGTCAAGCAATGGGTGGGATGTACCAAAATACACATGCACAGATTTACCTGTTCAACCCTACTGCTGTTTCCCCATCCGTGACTATGCTAACAATGCTGTATCTGTCAATGCTGTGATTCATACCTTCTCTTCTATAACAGCTATCAGCCACCATTCCCACAAGAGCAATATAAATAGAGAAGCTAAAGATAAGGAACTCTGTTGATGGAACATGCGCTCTGTATAGAATGAGAACAAGGTATGAGGGAACAGAATCTTTATTATTTGCTCTTTCGTTAATGACAAGTAAAAATTACTCACTGTCTTCCAAGGGTTTGATGTCTATCTTTAGTTGTAAAAAAGGCTTAGAGGCTCCGGCAAAGGCCATCCCCAGATCCCAGTCTGACATCAATGACAAGTACATTTCTTGGTTTTGCTTATCTCGGCTTAAATAGCTGATGGTAAAATTCTTCTTCCTGATGCAGGCAAAGGGTTTAGAGTTCTTTTCATTGAAGCTGAATATCTCTTTCTCAGCATGGCATATATTTATGTAGAAAACAAGCTGAGAAATCACCCAACATATACTAAGCAAACTCCCATAGGTGTACTGTGAAATAAGGTCTGGCTTTAAGTGGGGCTTTCCAACAGGTTTACAGCCAGACCAAATCCTCATTAGAGGATAATACAAGACTAGACAACATTGCAAGGGTTGCAGGAAATCATCCGAAAAAAGAGAAAGGGCTGATTTTTCCCCCTCCCAATTATATGCAGTTTTTTGGGAGTTAAAATATAGGGGAGAGGTAGCCTTTAGGAGACAAATTATAACACCATCCCATGATTAAAAATAATCAGAACCTGAAAAATATTCACCACTTAGGAGGTTGACATGAGAGACTAGTGAATTGTAAGGCTGATAATGAGTTAGGCGAGAATGCCTCTCAGGGTCATCACCACCAGCAGCAATTTTGAAAACAAAAGCATTGCAATACCAACAGTGTCTTGCTGAATTCCAGTCACGCCATTTGGGATCCTGAGAAGCTACAACTGATTGTTGGGAGGGGTTCCATAGATTTAGCAGGCTACCCAACTGATATAAATAAAAAAAAAAACCCCAAAAGGAACAGTACTGTTTTCCTTCACTATACTTAGCAGTAAATTGCTGTCTAAAACAAGTATTTTTGTTTAAAGTGAAACTTACAGTCCCTCTTTATTCAGATATATCAAAACATCCATCCTCTCATTTTCTTAGGCCCCTCCATACAATACTAGCAGTCTCCCTCTTGGCATGTGACATTCTTTTTTGAATGTGAGATTAGCTTCATTGCTATTGTAATATATGATGTCACAATGAGGAAAAGGATACAAAGTCTCTTTGCTCACAATTCATGTTCTGAGTTCTCATTCCCCTTCCAATGTCTCAAAACAAAAAGCCCTAGCTCAGTGGTTCTCAACCTTTTTAATGCCGCGACCCCCCAACCGGTCGTAAGTCGAGGACTACTCAACCGGTCGTAAGCCGAGGACTACTCAACTGGTGCAGCACCGTTTGCAGAATGGGACTTTTGGCGGGCTCAGCAGGGCAGAGACAGCCTGGACAATTCCTATTGGCTTTTGAAAGCCAATAGAATTAGACTCTATTCAAGAGAGTCTATTCTATTGGCTTTCAAAAGCCAATATAATAAAAGGGAGTAGCACCACTAAGAAAAAGGGGGAAAAAATGGCGGACTGCATTGTTTGGCGACCCCCGTGAAATGGTCGTTCGACCCCAAATGGGGTCCCGACCCACAGGTTGAGAACCACTGCCCTAGCTTATAGTTCCATCAGTGATGTGCTACAAAATTTGCTTTCATTAATTGGATCCATCACAACGGGAGCTGAAAGACAGGGTCACTTATTTCTATTCTCCCTGCACTTGCTTTTCACAACCGACATGACAGAAATGATACCATTTGTATTTCAACATTTCTGTTCAATAGAAACGACAGTCATTTGTGTGGAATGATATAGGGTCTCCTGCTTGAGCAGGGAGTTGGACTAGAAGACCTTAACTCTGTTAATTCTATATTCTAACTCACCCATTGAGGTCAAAAGCTCTGATGAGAATGTGTTGCAATACATCCAGTGAAGTGATCTGTGGGTCCACAGCAAAAGTCCGGAACTCAGGTTGCAAGAAGCCTTCACATTTCTGCAGAAATTGCACATAGGTAAGATTTTAAAAACAGTGCTAACTGGATAATCTGCATAATCTGTACATATTAGTCTCAGCATTTCCTGGGAAAAAACAAAATTTATTACTGTTTCATTATACAATGAAGATTATGACTACACTTGATTCAATCCCATATTTTTCAGGCGATCTCCATTAAAATATATTGTTACTATTTCATTTTCTCTCTCTGCTTATAAGCATGCCTTCTTAAGAAGTAGAATCACTATGAGAAAGTGAAGGGAAAATAAATTAGAAACAGCTTGTTGCTAGTCTCTCCCTAATCAACTCTGAGTGATAAGTGGACTAATTTGTATACCTTTACCAAATCAACAGACTAAACAGCTATAATTAACTACACTGCAAACTGACTCCATAAACTTTTTGTTGTTGTTGTTAATTGCAAAGTCGTGTCCGACCCATCGTGACCCCATGGACAACGTTCCCCCAGGTCTTCCTGTCCTCTACCATCTTCTGGAGTCCATTTAAGTTCACACCTACTGCTTCAGTGACTCCATCCAGCCATCTCCTTCTCTGTCGTCCCCTTCTTCTACTGCCCTCAATCTTTCCCAGCATTAGGCCCTTCTCCAGTGAGTCCTTCCTTCTCATTAGGTAGCCAAAGTATTTGAGTTTCAGCTTCAGGATCTGGCCTTCTAAAGAGCAGTCGGGGTTGATCTCTTCTAGGACTGACCGGTTTGAACGCCTTGCAGTCCAAGGGACTCGCAGGAGTCTTCTCCAGCACCATAGTTCAAAGGCCTCAATTCTTTGGCGCTCAGCCTTTCTTATGGTTCCATAAACTTAGATGAAATGAAATAATGAAAGTCCACTATAAATATTGAGGGCCAGGATCAAAAAATGCTTCTGTTCTTTATATGTATTTAAAAGTGTTGCAAAAAAAAAAAATGAAGAACTAAATACAGGACAAAATGGCTTTTGGCTTCATATTACAAGAATGTAATTGCCATGTCTTAATGGATCTCAAATATGGTCCAAGTTATTACAGGTAATTCTTGACTTAAGACCATAACTGAGCCCAAAAATTCTGTTGTTAAGTGAGACGTTTGTTAAGTGAATTTTGCCCCATTTTGACCTTTTTTTGCCTCAATTGTTAGGCGAATCACAGCAGTTGATAAGTTAGTAACTCAATTGTTAAGTGAATCTGGCTTCCCCGTTGACTTTGCTTGTCAGAAGGTTGCAAACATTATCTTGTGACAGAGCAACAGTCATAAATACGAACCAGTTGCCAAACATCTGAATTTTGATCACATATAATGGGGATACTAGAAAGAACGTAACTGTGAAAAACAGTCATAAGTCACTTTTTTCAATGCCATTGTAACTTTGAATGGTCAATAGGCGAACTGTTTTAAGGACTACCTATATATTTATTGACATTTTGATTCAAAGACCCGATTCTGACATGAATGAGAAAAACAGTGTCCAATTCAAAAACCAAGTGTTCAGATCCCAACAACTCAATGGACATAATCTAAATAAGGAAGGTTGTAGTTGCCAGTAAATATTTTTAAACAGTTCTGTATAGCATATAAGTTCCTTACAATATGGAAGAATCTACTGGAATGGGCAGCTATATTAAATCTAATCAACCACAATAACAAAATATATTTATTTCTATTTCTATTATTATTATTATTATTAATCAGAATGCCAGAATAATAACCTAATATCAGTTATATTTAGAAAAGCTGCAGTTAATACAAGCCAAAGCCTAGCATGATGTCTGAACAGTCAGTGACTTAAACACATTTTATGAAACAATAAGAATTTGAGTCGATGCTTTCCTGAGCAAAAGAGCAATGTCTCAGCCACTGCAATAAGATATATAATTTTGCAAGGTTACCTTGGAAATAAACAGATTCCCATGCCAACTACATGACCAATTTCACAGCCAAATACTCCATACAATTAATTCCATTATGCAAGTGCTGCTGAAGAATAATTTTGGAACCTCAGCTCTGCTTACCTCTGGTATATAATCCTTTTATAATTCCTTACCCAATTATTATCCATCCACATTTCATCCTGCCGAAGATTCAGCTCCAACAATCTTGTGGGCCACCCTCCAAGCGCCCCATTTTCCAGACACCATCCTAATAAGCCTCAGCAATCTGGATAGCCCAGGTTAGGGAAGGATGCCCTGTGACATCATTATGAGGAGAAATCGTTTGGCGGACTAGACTCAACTTCCATGGGAAACACCTGGGGCGCACCTCCACCTGTGGCTTCTCCCTTCCTCCCCACCCAGAACCCGGCCACTTCTGGTCTCTTCGCCTCCGCGTCCCTTACCTTGACCCGCACACGAACCACTTCATGTTCTTCTTCTTCTTGGGGCTGCAGCCATGATCCTGGTCCGGCGCCGGCGCCACCCTCTCCGGGAGTCGGCAGCCGGGATGCCTCTGCCCCCCCCGGGGCCGCCACCGCCGCCATCCCGACCCCTCCCCCTTCGCTCTGCGGCGGAGGCACCGCGCGCCGGGGCACTAACGGCCCCCGCCCCCGTGACGTCACCCACCCCGAAGGCACCTCTCGTGCCGTCAGCTCGCGGGTGTTCTCGCGTAAGGGGGAAGGCGGGAGGGGGGAGGGAAGAAAGCACCGCTTCCATCCAATTGCCCCCGCCCACGACTTCCGCCTTCGCCGGCAGTCTCCGCTTCTGCGCTGACTTCATCAATCGTATCTTAAAGGCATAGAGCGGAAGCGCCGGATGGTGTGTCTATAAATCAAAGCTTCTGGCAGCTCGTGGGTTAAGCGGCAGGGCTTTGTAGGCTACCATAAAGGGCGGGGAAAATGACGACCAGGAAGTCTTTTTAAAAACGACCCCTTCCGACTTAGACGAAAATAAGCGGCAGAACAACGAAAGCCGAAGCGAACGAAATGGTAATCGTCGGGTGTTTGTCTACTCCATGGAGATTCGCAGTCATCCAGGTCATGGTTGTCCCAAAGGTGCTTTTTCAAGAGGCGACTGGACTTTCTTGTTTTTCTTTGAAGACGTTTCGCTTCTCATCCAAGAAGCTTCATCTGGTGGATGGTGGCAAATGACCAGCTGTATGCAAGGAATATAAATCCTTGTTCCCCACCATCCAGTCAGAGCTGAAGAAGCTTCTTGGATGAGAAGCGAAACGTCTTCAAAGAAAAGAAAAAAGAAAAGTCTAATTGCCTCTTGAAAAAGCACCTTTGGGATAATCGGACGTTTCAGTGACATAATACCCAAGCATCAAGAAGAGATATTCCCTTTGACGTCATGGTTTCCCTTACAAGAATATGGGGGAAAGTGGAAAAAAACCGAAAATTTGGGTTGTCTGATCTGGATGGCAGACAGTCAAATGGTCACAAAAAAGTGCAGAAAACTCTGTTGCTACCTAGCGGAAGTCCTGTTTTTTGCAGGTCAGATTTGAAACTAATCAAGGAGAAAAGCAACCTGGAATTAAGGAGAAATTTTCTAATAATGAGAACAATTAATCAGTGGAATGGCTTGCCTTCAAAAATTGTGGGTGCTTCATCACTGGAGGTTTTTAAGAAAAGACTGGACAGCCACCTATTTGAAATGGTACTAGTAACTAGATAAGAAAATCTCCAAGGTCCTTTTTGATTGATTGATACCAGCTGTGGGGGGGGGGAGAGGAATGCTGCTCAGGTTTCTCGGAGGCATCTAAAGGGCCATTGGGAAAACACTTGCTTACGAGGCAAGGCATTAGCGATCTACCTGGATGCTAATTACACACCGCGGTCATTTTATGCCATTATCATCCGGGTCACGACAAAGTTCTGTGCCAGTGACTGTCGACTGGATTGGGCAGAGATGCAAATTCAAAGCCAGGGATAGAAAAAGACGAGAATGCTGGAAGGTTTATTGTTAGTTTGGGTTATGACATATGGCGGAAGTATACAGCATTGTATTAAACTTTAATAACTAAAGGGAAACACTCCTTTTAACCAAGCATGGCTCTTAAGGCAAACCAGGGTCACGGGGAGGGAAGAGGGACAGTTTATGTTTCCAGGGCATCACAATCATATGGTAATGAGATATTTACTAAGCTAAGCTTCCCCCCCCCTACTGATGTCACTATGCCGAGATTATGATGTCCTCACAAGTAGCAGCCATGATATTGCATTTGTTTTTTCCGCTACAAGACTTTGCCTAAATCAAGAAGTGAGGAACTATGGCTCCTTCATGACTTGTGGACTTCAACTCCCAGCATGGCTGGTCCAGGAATTCTGGGAGTTGAAGTCCACAAGTCATAAAGGAGCCATAGTTCCCCACCCCTGACCTAACTGGTCATAAGTTTGCTTTTGAGAGGCACTCTCCAGCCTGGTGCCCTCCAAATCTTTGAGATCATGAATGGCTGTGTATTCTTGGAATTGAAGGGTCCACAAATCTGGATGGGGAAGAATGGCAAACAGGCTGTTTACAAATGATAAATAACATGCCTGGCCTTCAGTATAGCACATTTATCTATACCTAAGAACATGGGCCAAACCACAGTAGTACAAATTTGCAGAATTGTTTAAACAGTAACCAAAAGTGTGTCTGAATTGGATACCACACATACAGCAATCCTTCCCAACCATTCTTGATTACTGACACAGAATATAGAAACTTTGTGGAATAGCAAAACTATGACACATTTTAATAATTTTAGTTGGGATTTAATAAGTCAAAATAAGAGTGGCATGCAAAATTAAAAATGGGGGGAGGGGGAAGCACGTACACACACTCCAAGAAAATTGACGTGTATCTACTTGTCAATCTTGGTTGCTTTGATGGCTTGTTTTTTGGGGGAAGGAGGGGAACCTTCAGAAAGAAAATGAAATTTCTCACTTCACTGCACTTTTTTTTAATGTGCTATCAAGGAGAGGCAAAGCCACTGCTTAGTCAGAATTGGAGCCTGTTCCTCCCCATCCAGCCTCCATCCTCCAGTCACTAGGTCAGCTTCAAAACAGCACCCCCTACCTAGCTAGTATTAATGATACTGCACCATGTGCTGTAGAATGACCTTACCCAGCAATTTTATGTGGATGTTAAAGGAAGGAAGGAAAAATCTGAGGCATCCCACATCAGTTATAAAGCTCATAAATTAGCTGATATGGCCAAGTGACTCCTGAGAAGTATGCTTGTTGTACCAAGGCATTCAGCCGTATATAAAAATAAGTTTGGGCTCATTCTTTCCTTTTCCAAAACGAACAATTAATTTAGAAAGCGTGAAATTTTTCATTTTTTCATTTTTATTGGCCTTATCACATTGTCAATGTTCTTTTTCAGAAGCAGGATGGAGACAGTTGTAAAAACCCAAGGTTTTTACTTAAGCTTTGTTGTCCTGTACATATATATTACATTTTCAGAAAGGGAATACACTTCACAGGCTCTTGATTATTACAATAACCTCTATTCTGCCTATGTTACAGACTCAGATTCTATAAATTAGTCTTCTAATACTTTCAGTGTCTACACTGTTGCCTTCTGTTCTAACAGCGCCAACAAGTGTAACACAAGACAACCCTGGAATATAGTCAGGACAACCCCTAAATTTAATACTTTACACAGTTCAACTCCAGAGAAAAAGAGATTTCCTAATTGGTCTATTGTGCCCACTATATTGATGGTCCTCTTTCACAAGAAATTATGAAAGTTCTTGATGATGAAACTTTACAGTTAAAATCACCCCCTAGTACAGTGGTTCTCAACCTGTGGGTCGGGACCCCATTTGGGGTCAAACGACCATTTCAGGGGGTCGCCAAACAACGCAGTCCGCCATTTTTTTCCCCCTAACTGTGCTACTCCCTTTTATTCTATTGGCTTTTGAAAGCTAATAGAATAGACTCTCTTTCAAAAGCCAATAGGAATTGTCCAGGCTGTCTCTGCCCTGCTGAGCCCACCAAAAGTCCCATTCTGCAAACAGTGCTGCACCAGTTGAGTAGTCCTCCACGTACAACTGGTTGAGTAGTCCTCCACTTACGACCAGTTGGGGGTCGCAGCATTAAAAAGGTTAAGAACCACTGCTCTAGTATTATAGTCTGATTACATTTTAAACAACTCAGAGGAAACAAAATATTCTATCCATTTAGAGAGAAAATTCCATCACAATTATTTGTTTTCTCTGAAGCCTCAGCCAACCCATACAACACGGAGATTGTTTATTAAAATGTCACACCTCAGTTTACAAATAAGAGAGTTTAGTGCTGTGCAGAGGGCATTCAAGGGAATGGAACTTGGGATACAGTGATAAATTGGGACATTAGAAAATAGTTGCCCATAAAGCAAGAGATCTGTCTCCTTATATACAAATCTTTACAGTACGTTTTTTTTTTGCTGCAGATATACAATCCCAAAGCAATTGAAAAAATAACTGAAGAAAAAAGAAAAGAAAGGAAAAGAAAGCTATCAATAAAATGAGTGGTGATATAAAAGTATTTACTATTCTGCATAGTTCAGATATGGACATATGATAGGTTCCTCTTTGTGCTACCTCAAAGTATTTATAATTCTTGAGCGACAGCTGTCAGATACTATTTCCCAGTTTAAGCCATTCACTGACTAATTATACATGGGAACAAAAAGAATCTTCAAGGCAAGTAGCTTTATGTGGACAGAAGCAAGTTGCCAGCCCCTCTAACGCTACCTTCTACTTGATCTGAGAATAAGACTAAATGTTTCCCGCAGAGTCTCTATACTTCAATGTATTGAACTCTAGATGTGGGGCCCTCCTTGCAGGCTTAAGTGATCATAGCTGCAGGTATCAAGAGAAACAAAGCTATATGGTCCACAGCAGGGCTCAGTTCAATACTGACTAGTATTAGCTGAGTCACTTGATCCTAATAACATTTGTTTAGAAATAAAATCTCCCGATTTAAAAAAAAAACCTTCATGAAGATAAAACTGCAGTCTTAATTTTAAGCTCATAGCTTAAGAGCTATGAATATTTAAAGAAGAGAATAACCACCATCAAACAGAGAGAAACCACAGGAAATATCTAAACAAGTGCAGAGGAACAGGAAGAGTACAAGATCAACCTCTGAATGGCTGGAAGTACCATCCAATATGACCTCCTGTGCAAAACATCAATGTTTCTTGACCTTGTTGGCATCCATTACTCTCTGGCAACCACTGAGGTGCTTCCAGGCATCCCAGATGAGAATAGAGGGAATGATAATCCACAGACCATTCAGAAAGACAAAGTAAAACCAGAAGTAGGTAGGGTGCCACTTCTCACTATGGCAAAAGCCATCATGGTATTCAGTGTAGAAGTATAGAATATCACCATATAGTTGACCTATGGTTAGAGATAGACAACATGGCTGGTTAAAGTAGGAAGAAAAGATCAAAAGTGGACAAGCCAAAAAAGAAATGCAGTCAGGTGTATGGAACATTAACCAAGAATAAAAATATTAAATTAATTGCTTTTGAAAGATTGCATTAACATTTATATATCCTGACATACCTGCCTATCTTGCATACCTACCTAGAGACACCACTAGCTGCAGCACGTATCGATGGGACTGGCGTGAAAGAAATGCGACTGCAGTCCAAAGACTGAGGGGACCCCAAAAACAGGAAGTGATGGTTTCCACGCAAACTATGAAACTACTTGACCTGCAATACAAAAATGAAATGAATGTCACCTTGAGGTCCCAAAACTTCCCAAGTTTCTTACAGTTCACTACATTCAAACTGATCATAGATAGATGACAGACAGACAGAGTTCTGTCCCAGCCTATGTCCATCCTTGTTACTTCACAGGACAACCCCTCTTTTAACAGTAGGCTGGGAAAACCAACCCTTTTTATTTGATTTACAGTTCAGATAATTTTCCCTCAAAACAAAAACAGAATACTTTTCCAACCAATAATTGGTTCAAAATCAAAACAGCAGGAGTTACACAAGAAATAATTCACGGGTAAAACAAACAGACCATGATTCCTTGACAGTGCAGTTCTTTGCAAATGGTTGCCTCCAGCAACCAGCCCTGCCCACACATTCCCTTTTTGTTGTGTAGCCCCCAAAGCGTGGTTTCTCACTGCTTCCTCCTCCTCCTCCTCCCTACGTTTATCTCTGAGTTCTTCCAGGTGTGCTTCCTCTGAGTCTAACTCATCCTCCCACCACACCTGGCTTTCAGTTTAATCACATGGAGGAGCCAGGTTCTTCCTCACTTCCTAAGTCTTGTAACTCATCAGAGCCCTCCTCCAACTCTGATGGCTCCCCTGGCCTTCCTCCTCCTCTTCTGATTCCCCCGACTCAGCTGCTGGGATCACAGGCTGGCAGGGAATCACAACAGACAGATACCAATTTAGGAAAATGTTTCATTTTATTTGATGAAGTAGAAAATGGAATGCACCTCATTCAAAGCCATGAATAAATGCTTACAAACTATACTCTTCTTGGGCTAAACCAATTAAATGTCATCCCGGTTTCCCTCATCCATGAAAATTCACAAAGATAATAAAACCATCTCAGGCCAAACTGCAGAATTTGATGCAAGTGAGGAGAGTGAACTGTGCAAGTTCTTTCCATTCAAGCCTTGCTCATTTTATTTTCCCAAGCTCAATTACTATGGCTGAGGGGAAAAGAGAAAAAAAAATGAATTAAAAATAAATGGGGAAAAGTAGAATTTAGCCATCCCTTGCAGATAAAATACTCATGTTCATCAACCAGATTTTCCATTGAGCTTGGGGAACCCCACTGATAATACTCATCTCAAAAGTTCATAAATATGAAATTGGAAAACATATCATTCCCCAATATGCTCTTTTAAGGTATGAATAGAATTCAATGGGATTTTTTTTCTAAAATAATTTAGAAATATAAAAGATTAGGATCCTTAAAAAGAAATGCAGGAATTCTTTTAATTTTGTTATACTCACCCTATTAAAAAGTTGTCTTGGCAACAGAAAATATATTAAGAGAACTCATGCAAAAGTTTGAACATCTCAGCTATATTTATGTTTGCATTATGTCAAATCATCCCTTCCCTATCCCCGTACTCAGACCAGGTACTTGTGTTCAAAATTGCTGGATCTTTGCAGAAATATCCAGACCTTTGCCTGTCATTTCAAAGTTAACACTTACATCATATATCTGCTGTCACCTTTGCCATATTCCTTCCCTGGAAGATATAAAGAAAAATCAGTAGAAGAAATCCATGGGAACAGCAATAGAGAGAGTTTGTGAATTTCCCTGTATTAAGAAACATACATTTTCACTTCTCGCAGTTTCAATAATACTAGAAGGAATCAAATACTCTTAAATTCAGATGTAGTTGTCGAATCTGAAGGTTTTAGTATGTTGTATGTGTGCCCCATTCATTATGGCTTATTCAGCAAACCATGGCAAAGCCAGATGTGCAAAGTGAATTATTGTGACTAATATAAAACGTAATTTTTCTAATCTGATTTCTGCTTCCCTTCTTGTTACAATTTCAAAGCATAGCATTATAGCTATATGTTTTTTACCTAGACATTTGTAAGGATTAAGTGATTTAATACTGCAGATTCTGTACTGCTTGTTCAAAATCCCAGGAGCTGTTATGGGTAATGATGATCTTTCAGCTGACATACTATTATCACTTCTGCAAAAAATGCAGATTTCTAGGTATATATATTAATATAAATATATAAACCAACTTGTCCATTTTGAAAACTTTCAGGTATGCTGGATTTCATTTCTCATTTTCTTTCACATATGTGGAAAGCATTAGGTTGAAGATGCTCCATGGATTAATCTCAACAAATAGTAACCTGTCTTCAATCAAACTTATTTTATCTACAAAAGATACTGTTACATCTTGTTGTTGATATACATGCTATATCTAATTGGACCATGTTCTATGTGAAGGCTAATTCAGGAGTTTGGGAAGAAAAAGGAAATAATTAGGGAACAGATTGGTTAAAGTGCTGGTCTAGAAAGCAGGAGACTGTGAGTGACTTTAGGCCTGTTAGTCTGTCAGGCTGAACCACTTCACACATACTTCTTTTGTGGAGTATTAGATATGGAGAATGGAGTATTAGATATGTTCACTGCCTTGAGTTGACACATACAGTGAGGCGAATTTTAAAAAATGTAATAATACAGATACAAAATGAGCTGAGCCATATGGCAAACATCTTCCAGCCACTGAGGGAAATACAGAGGGTTACATCTGCAAAATATTAGTATCCTCTTACATATTTCAATTCAAGATGAGTTTTTTCCCCCAGGGCTCACTTTAATGCTCTCCATCAAGCCAACCTGGAGGTTGCAGCACCTTATGTCAAATGCATTTTCTCAGCATCATGGTGCAGATGTAGAGAGCAGCCAGGAACCACAGGGGAAAATGCATTGCTCTAAAGTAGTCTCTTTTCACATTCCATTCCATTATACCCCACAGCCCTAGCATGCAACACAGGTTCCCTAAGGATAATTATATGTGGAAATCTATTTGCGGCCTTATTTCAGTATTCACATCATATCAAGTTCCTATATGTGGAACTTTTCTTATGAACTATTAAGAATCAATAGCTCTACATGCACAAAAAAATAGACAGAGCTCTATATGGAGAGCATAGCAGAAGCATTAAACTATTCGTGTTATAACAGCTGAACCCAGTTTTATCTGCACATTTTATATTTTCCTTACTCTTATTGTACAATTGTAATAGGTGCCTTTCAAAGGTACAGTCAAAAAGCTGCCTGCAGATACAAAAACCAATCAATCTGCAGAATTTTGAAATCTATTTCTGGAGTGATTGCAGGATAGTGCTATCTCAAAAATAACCACATACAGACAAGTAGTCCTCATTTAATGTCCACTTGTTCACTGGCTGTTTGAAGTTACAACAGTGCTGAAGAACTCGCAACTGTCCTTGTAGTTGTGGCCATCACAGCAGCCCTATCGTCAGGCTAATGTGGGTCAGATACTTCAAACTGGCTTGCAATTATATCACAGCATCTTGCTATCATGTGACTGAGGGATGCCACAACCATTCAGGATTCATCTAAAGATGGCAACTGGGACTGCAGGAATTGTTAATAAGTCAGGGGTCTTCAAACTTGGCCCTTTTATGACTCGTGGATCTCAACTCAGAATTCCTCAGCCAGCGTACTTGGCTGAGGAATTCTGGGAGTTGAAGTCCACAAGTCATAAAAGGGCCAAGTTTGAAGACCCCTGTTATAAGTTGTTGTGGTCATGTGACAATGAATTATGGCCACATCAGTTACACTGAATTTGCTGGTCCAAGTTACTGTTGGTAAGCAAAGACTGTCTACACAAGTGTCACTATCACATATTTGTGTTCTGAAGTCTGATTCAAGTATACAATAGAAGGATTGACCAATGTGTCATTTGCTCCATTTATGCCTCCTGCAGATCCTCCTGCCACACTCCACTTTCCCCCCCATGTTAATCTCCTGCATCAATTTTCCCCCCCAAAATCAAGAGACAGAAACCAGATAGACACACATCTTACAGAGCTGCGAGAGAAAGGATTGATCTCCTGGGATTTCCATATAGTAAAGGCTAAACCAGCCTTCGATGACACCATGAATAAAAGCACAGATGGTAAACCAGCAAATGATCAAGGTGCGCCAAGTTCCAAAAGGGCCCCATGTCTTGCTTCGCCAACCTGCTACAAAACAAGTCAATAGCAAGAGAATTCCTGAAATAGAAAATATGAATGTCAAGAGCTGCCATAAGGGTCGGTCATTTGGGATGTAATTTTGGAGTTCTAAATTCCGAGGCCAGTATGGGTGGTGGACAACATCAGGTTTTGCTTCCGGAACCATACTGGGTTGAGAAAGTGTGAGTTGAGCCAGTGAAAAAGGCAAGGGCTTCTTCTGGTAGAAAATGACCCACCTGCATTAAATACAGAGAACTAGTTAAGCACAATGTATGATCAGATTCTTTCAGTTTGACAGCTGAAAAAATAGAAACAGAACTTATCTTAAAATCTGAACATACAAATACACATATATACATATGTTGCATGTGTGTGTGTGTATATATATATGTATGTATATACACATATACTTATATATATATATACATATACATACATATACTTTGATAATATCCGTAAAAATACGACTCCCGGGCATAATTATGAATAAAATAAATAATATGCAATCACCAGGAGAGTTTAAGTAAGAAAAATACTTTACTAAAAGCTGCCAAGCTTTCGTTGGGAACTCCCAACATTGTCAGGGCTAAAAAGCCAGTTTAACAAGAATGACTTAAATAGGTTTGGCTGACATCTGCACCTGGCTCCTAGACCGCGTCACTGGCCCCAGCCAGTCAATTAATGTTCCGGATGTTTCTTTGGTGTTACATTCTCTTCTGTCGTTCCTTCGGATCTTCCTACCTGCCCCTTTGTTATTAATTTTTAAGTCTATTGACACCCTCGTATCCTCCTCCCCTTCGGTGATATTTACTCCCATCACATCCTTCTTTCTGCTACGGATTTCAGGGGCATTCGATTCAGTGTTAATCCTCATTCCGTTAGGGCTCCAGGTACTTTTCACCTCCTTTGATTGTGGGTCAATGTTTTCTTCCTGTTCTGTATTCCCCTCTCCCTTGACCATATGAGTATCACTTATCCGGGCATTGTGCATTCCGGTGCTTGTTTCCACCCCCCACCATAGCGTTCTCTACATCAACCGTTCTCTCTACACACACACACACACACACACACACACACACACATATACACAAACCAGTTTGATTGATTACACCTTGGCATTTTTAACTGCTATACTGCAGTTATACGTTTTACAATCTCTTTTGCCTTGCAGCCCCCCAACTACGGGCGTTAAGCAGGCTCAAGTCGCAACTGCGAAACATTTACAAATCCAAATTTCTTTTTCTGACAAAGAGTTAAAGAATTAAATTGGGAGACTAAGATGGCCATTTCGAACTCATTCTGCCCTCTTCAGTTAACCACACCCTTTATGGGATTCGAACCTGGGCAGTTTACATACCAGGCAGTGATTTAACCACCAAGCCACAAGCTTTCTCCCCTCTTTGCCAGCTGAGTCAAGGGAGTATATACAGGAAGTTTTTCAGACAAACCGGTTTGATTGACTACACCTTGGCATTTTTAACTGCTATACTGCAGTTACACTTTTTACAATCTCTTTAACTCTTTGTCAGAAAAAAAAAATTGGATTTGTAAATGTTTCGCAATTGCAACTTGAGCCTGCTTAACGCCCCTAATTGGGGGGCTGCAAGGCAAAAGAGATTGTTAAAAAGTATATAAATTTTTTTTCTGGTCTGACCAGAAAGAAAAAAACTTTCTATATATTCCCTTGGCTCTGCTGACAAAAGAGGGGAGGAGAGCTGGTGGCCTGGAGGTTAATACAACTGCCTAGTATGCAGGCTGCCCAGGTTCGAATCCCGAAAAGGGTATGGCTAGCTGATGAGAGCAAAATGAGCTTGAAATGGCCATCCTAGTCTCCCATTTAACTCTTTAACTCTTTGTCAACAAAAAAAGAAATTCGAATATACATATATACAAATATAATATACATATATATATATATATATATATATATATATATATATATATATACATATATAATATACATATATATATATATCCAACAGTCATAGCATAGTCTTAAGCTTTTAAATTGTCTCTGTGCAACAAAAACTTGCCTGTCACTGGTTTTAAATACATTTCCATTACACAATACAGCTCCTCCTTTCACAGAAATCATTCCAATAGATGAGTTGATTTCAAAGATCCCAGAAGGAGCATGTTCCTTCAGGAAGCAAAAAATTGGCTCCAAGCAGTGTGTTCGCAAGTCTACCATTCTACAATGCCACAGTTCAGCTCAGAGGGTTACCTACTTTCCATCTTCTAAAGAACTTCAAAGCAATACCTCCCAATATTCAGTGCCATCCATGCATCCAAAGTGGACATTTTATGAGTCTTCATAACTTTTTTTTTTAGAATTGAGAGCAATCTGCTTATTAATAGACATTTACAGCAACATTACTCAGTCGCTGTTAGAACTTAATAGCTTACTAAATAATTATTTTTGTTACATCCTTTATTAGATGACAACCTTACCTCCCCCCCCCCCGAATTATCCTTCGGTTTCAATTTGAGACAAGAAAGTCTTTTTCACGACTTTTTTTGCCTTCGCTTTCTCCGTTCTGAGATTTAGAAACTCAAACTGCACCCATCATTCCAACTACGGAGGAGAGCCCTGAATTTTGGACTCAAAAGCAAATCAGGAGAATGGTCTTAGCAGGACCTTGTGCAAAAAACCCCTTAATACCACGGGCTGTAATGAGGCACTCTGTAAATACAGTATATAAAGGATTTGTGCCCCTAAACACAACATCTATCCCGTATAATCCTTGACCATAAGAGAAACACTACAAAATCTATAAATCAACCAGGAAATCTTATACGCAGGTCAGTTTTTCAGATAACAAAAATTTTCTCAAACCTTACCCAACCTAGCTCGCAAAACTTCTGCACCAAACGCTTCTCGTCGGTTCCCTAAACCCATCCAATAAATCCAGAAGCACCATCGGCAGGTATGGTAGCAGACAGTTAAACCAGCCAATCAGCGCCTGCTATGATAAAGACAGAGTTCTTATAGGGTTGTTTTTTTTTTTTTTTTTGCTTTACCCGCGCAACTAATCGGAATGTAGGCTCTGACATCATACAGTATTCTGGCAAACCGATTGGTGGAAGGTGGCTGAGGCGACGTGGGTTCATAGATGATCTTCACCGCCTTCTGGCGTCGTTTTTCTCGTCAGTTGTGTAACGTTTACTTACTAATCTAACAAACCTATATAGTCGCCCACCTACTCAAGGAATTATAACTCACAGTTCAAGTAGCCATGGTTTATTGAATAAACTACCATGGCTGGTGCACGATAAACTTTTCACCCGCTTTCATTCACACAACGCGCTGAAGCACAACAAATTTTCTTCAACGTGCACAAACATTGTGTCTAAATAAACCATTGTTTAGCATTTGTGCCTCCAACAAGCGTGATAAAAACTGCAGTTATCCAGGTCGTGGATGTTTTCTGAGCGCTTCCGATCGGGCTGTACTACCTGCCAATAAAAGGTGATGCGCTGGAGACTGGAGTCCTTCTACTTCACAGCATTCTGGCTGCACTGCATGTGGACGAGTGGCACGAAATTGCAGGCTAAGAGGGTTAGAGAGGCTGGAAACAAAGTCGCCTTAAAGGTGACAAATTCAGCCTTACAGAAAATAATTGCTTCCTCACATACTGGGGAAAACGGAAAATAGATTATCAGAGTGCCTATAATGAGATGTTCCTGCTGTAGCTTCTGCAATAAATATGTTGAAAGCACACCTCACTGGCTATATTAATTGAAATGCAGAGACCTCTTATAGTTCAGTTCTATTATCATAACCACAGGTAATAGTGCAAGCTGTTGTACTTCCTAACTCTCCCCTCTCCCCCAGCTATCACATCAAAGAACCCAGCCATCTTTTACACCAGCGGTTCTCAACCTGTGGGTTGCGACCCCATTTGGGGTCGAACGATCATTTTATGGGGGTCGCCAAACAACGCGATCCACCATTTTTTTCTGAGCTGGCAGCACCGCGCATGCGCGCCGCACATGGGGGGCACCGCGCATGTGTGCCGCACATGGGGGTGCTGCGCATGCGTATCGTGCATGCGCGCCGCACATGGGGCAGCGTCACGCATGCGCACTGCGCGTGGGGCCGTCGCCGCGCATGCGCACCACGCATGGGGGCGGCATCACGCATGCGTGGCGCACATGGGGGCGGCGTCACGCATGCACGGCGCGTCCTTATGACCAGGGTCGCAGTATAAAAAGGTTGAGAACCACTGTTTTACACAGTTGTAATCCTTAGAGCAGTGGTTCTCAACCTTCCTAATGCCGCGACCCTTTAATACAGTTCCTCATGTTGTGGTGACCCCTAACCCCCCATCCAGCTGGCTGGGGGGTGGGTATCAAAAACTTAACCAAAAAAAAGAGGAAAAAAATGGGAAAGTATAGGTAGTCCTCGACTTACAACAATTTGCTTAGTGACTGTTTGAAGTTACAACAGCACTGAAAAAGCGAATTATGATCATTTTTCACACTTATGATTGTTGCAGCATCCCCAGGGCCATGTGATTTACATTCAGATGCTTGACAACTGATTCATACTTATGACATTCACAGTGTCCCAGGGTCACGTGATCAATGGCCAGGGGGCATGCCCAGCTGATCACTCAGGTTGCAGAGTGCCTGGGATGGGACTGGGGTGGGTGCCTGCCTTCCTTCCCTCCCTTCTCTCCTCTTGTCCCTTCCTTCCTTCTTTTCTTCCTTACCTTCATCTCTTTCTTAGTCTCTTCCTCCTTCCCTCCCTCTCCCATTGTCCCTTTTTTCTTTTCTTCCTTTCCTTTACCTCCTTCTTAGTCTCTTCCTCCTTCCCTCCCTCTCTCCCATTGTCCCTTCCTTCCTTCCTTCCTTCTTTCCTTCCTTTCGTTCACTTCCCTTAGTGTCTTCCTCCTTCTCTTCCTCTTTCCCATTGTCCCTTCCTTCTTCCTTTCCTTCCCCTCCCTCTTAGTCCCTTCCTTCCTTCCTTCCCTTTGTCCCTTCCTTCCTTCCCTCCCTTCCATTGTTCCTTCCTTCCTTCCCTCTCATTGTCCCTTACTTCCCTCCTTCTTCGTCCCTTCCTTCCTCCCCCCTTCCGTTCCCAAGAAGGAACAAGGGGAGGGGGACAGGCTGCCAGAGGCAGAGGAGAGCTCCGCCCAGCTCACTTGCTCAGCTTCGCCAGAAAACATGCCGCTTGCTAAGTTAGCAGAAGCCCCAGGATCAGCGCCAGGCTACAGCTGATTTGCACTTCTGCTAAATTAGCAAGCGGCATGTTTTCTAGCAAAGCTCGAGCAAGTTTGCTGGGCAGGAGTCAAGGAGAGCTGCTACAGCTGACCTGCTTCTTGGCTGCTCTGCAGAAGCGCGGATCAGCTGTAGAGGTTTGCCCCGATCCTGGACATGAGGGGAAAGAAGGAAGGACAGAAGGGACAAGGGGAAAGAGGGAGGGAAGGAGGGACAAAGAGGGAGGCGAAGGGAAGGAAGGAAGGAAGGAAGGAAGGAAGGAAGGAAGGAAGGAAGGAAGGAAGGAAGGAAGGAAGGGACAATGGGAGAGGGAGGGAAGGAGGAAGAGACCAAGAGGAAGGGAAGGAAAGGAAGTTCCAGCCAGCAGAGGTTTGACTGCCGAGGAACAGAAGAGCGCAAACCCAAGGAGAAGAAGGTGGCGGTTTCCTCCCAAAGGGGTCTCCTTTTCTCCACCCCTTCCCTGGGTTTGTGGGGAATTTCTTGTCACCAACGCTGACAGGCGCTCCTTCGAGCCTGCCGCGAGCTTTCTCACCCCCTTTGCTTCTCCCCCGCTTTCGTGAGGATTGTGGTCCCCTTGGGAAGCCGATCGTGCTATGAAGCTTAGGAGAGGAGGAGGAGTCCCTTCCTCCTTCCCTCCCTCTCTCCCTGTCAAGCCCCGGCGGGCTCGACATGAACGGGTGGAGGAGTCGAGGACAGGCGGGGTGGCAAAGGAGACCGGCGGCCGTTGCCAGACCTCCCGGCTGACAAGCGCAAGTTCGGGGGTCACCAGCTGACGGGCACAGGAGTTGGATGCTGCGACGGCCTCCCCTTTGCTGACCTGTGAGAAGAAGTCAATCCGGTTGTTGCACAATGAGTCTCTGGGGAGGGCGGGGCCTTGCTCTGCGCCTGCGCTCTTCATCCGCCCTCTGCAGGGCACATTTGGTAGAATTCGTGCAGACTGCCGCCAAGCAGCATATTTTCCACAAACAAGTGAGGTGGAGCGGAGGGAGGGAGGGAGAGAAGGCAGTTGACAAGCCCTGCCTAAGACCATCGGAAATATGTGTTTTCCGATGGTCTTAGGCGACCCCTGTGAAAGACTCGTGCGACCCCCCAAAAGGGTCATGACCCACAGGTTGAGAACCGCTGCCTTAGAGACTAAGGGTTCAGGACTCAAACATAGAAGCAATTTAAAAAAAGAAGAGAGGAAAATCTGCATAGCTCAGATCATTTTCATGCACTTCTTCATATATACTATTTTCAAGAAGACAGTACTTATCTGGTCATACTGGTTTTGTCATTCATTTAGCAGTATTTTTCAAATTTGACAATTTGAAGCTGGGGGGGGGTGAACCAGAATGACATGCAGTAGACTACTGTACAGCAGATTTAATCAGATGCTTAATTTTTTATTGTTTACTTTATAATATACTTTAATAGTAGAGACCTAGAGGAAAAAAACACAATAAAATGTGATAAGTGTGTGGCAAATCAAATTTATTTATAGCAGTGTTTTATGGCAATAGTAAAAAAAATGTCACTTTGTTCTGAGTTGTTTGTTCAATTTCCCAATTGCCCTAGCACTCTTTGGGAAACCTTAATTTTAGTAGTAAACTTGTCCAACATTCCTTAGCTTTGTCTGTTGTCAGCTAAGCCTAACAAAGTGCCATCAAATTTGTGTCAACATTAAAATAATGAAGATTTGAAAAACCCATAGTTACAATATCCTGCTATCATTCATGCAGTGGCCAGGTTCATACATTCTAGTAAAGATGTGGTTCTCAACTTTTCATATCTTAAACAGTCTATCAAGTAAGTCAAGCCTCACCATGAAAGAAACAAGGGTCCAATGAAAGGCATTTATAATTCTGGCTATCCAGGCATGTTTTCATTTACAGCAGGTGTTAAATGTTTCAGATTTCTGGTTTTACCCTAAGCCTAGGGCAATCTAACATACTTCTGAGTTCCACCTGCAATCCATATCCTAAAAAGTCAGGGCATTTTGTAAACCACAATTTGCATTGGCTGAATTCACCCTTTGCAGAAACCAAAACCAATGAACTCCATCATCGTTGCTTATGAAGTCGGAATAGAATATGTGATATTTTAGACATATTTATTAAATTTATTTTCTCTTTCTTGCCATCTGGCATAGCAACTAAAAACATATAAGCCCACAATTAAAAAAATACAAGATAATCAAATAATGAAAAATTTAAAATCAGTAATATTTATTTATTTATGAGACTTATATACCACTTTAAGTGCAAGCACTCTCTAAGCGGTGTACACCAGTAAGCAATGTATATATATATTTACATTGCCCCCAACAATCTGGGTCCTCATTTTACCTACCTCGGAAGGATGGAAGGCTGAGTCAACCTTGAGCCGGTGAGATTTGAACCGCTGATCTGCTGAACACAGTCAGCTAAAGTGGCCTGCAGTACTGCACTCTAACTGCTGCGCCACCTCGGCTTAAAGCCAGTTTAACTAACAATCTGTGAAGACAATGGTTTTTGTGGTTTTCCAAAATATTAGAAAAGCTGGGGCACAATGTCCCTTCCTGGAGTGTATTCCTTGGCATGAGAGCTTAGGGAAAGGTGATCCTGCAGATAGTCAGGCCCTGTGATACATGGGGTTCAGCACTTTGAATTGCTCCTGGAAAGAAACTGGAAGCCAATGCAGCTCATACAACATAAGTGTTATATGGGCAAATCTAGATGCCCCTATTACTGTTTGTGCTGCTGCATTTTGGACCATTTGAAGTTTCCAGGTGGTCTTCAAGGGTAGCCCCATGTACAGTATATTGCAGTAATCTAGATGGGCGGTGATCAAGACATGACTGACCATGAACATGGCCTCCCTATCCAGGTGCAGATTTTAAAAAGGAGCAGCAAGAGCTTGAGTCCTAAAGCACCCTAATTACAAGGGCCTGGGGTTTGACTTCTCCTCTCTTACCAACACCAACTGGAAGCAGACATGGAAGAAAGAGAAGCACCATAACACAGTGCCTCCCACTCCCAGCCCCGGAAGCCAGTCCAGAAGGATATCACGCTTGGTGGTTATTAAAAGCTCCTGAAAGATCTAGGAGGGCCAAAATGGTTGCGCTACCTCCATCCTAAGCCCTTCAAAAGTCATTGACAAGTGTGTGACCAATGCTGTTTCAGTGCTGTGCCCCAGCCTGATTACTGAAAAAAAAAAGAATCAAATTATAGAGAGAAAAAAGATAGTTGCAAACAATGTACTCTAAAGAGCAAGACATAGCTAAGCATACACAAGGCAGAGAAAATGCAGAGCAATTTTGGTTCAAATTAAAAAAAAAACAAAAAAAAAAACAAAAAAACAAAGTAGGAAAGAGGGCTAAGGAAGAAGTTTCTGTCAGAAAATGAGGAAAGGATTTGGAATGAAATTAAAGTAAGGGAATGCTGAAGAGGATAGTTTGGGGATTTGTACAGGGATTACAGTGATATGTGAAAGAGTAGAACTGAAATGTTACAAACGTTAGTGACCAAGGCTAAAAAAAACGATGAAAGGGAAGTCAAAGATCCTGTGAAAATATTTTTAAAAAATGACAAGGCTGAAGGCTCAGTGTATTAAGAGAATGGTTTAAAAATGGGATGCTTATGGAATGGGGTAATTTGTTTGTACCTGATGATTAGGGGAAAGAAAGAATCAGTGATTGCAGAAAAATGTGTTTTTGGATTAATTTTTTGATCTAAAAACCAATAGAAAAGGGGCTGGACCAAATTCTGAATTGGTATAAGACATGATGATAAACAAAATAAGTTGGAAGCATATATTGCAATACCGCTTTACTCCAGGGGTGGGGGAAACTAGATCTTTTTTTTTCAGCAGGCCATTTAGAAGTGAATGTGAAACAATCTGCTGTAGTTTTGTTTAGAACAGGGGTAGGCAACCTTGGCTCTTTTATGACTCGTGGACTTCAACTCCCAGAATTCCTGAGTCAGCCGACTCAGGAATTCTGGGAGTTGAAGTCCACGAGTCATAAAAGAGCCAAGGTTGCCTACCCCTGGTTTAGAAGTATATGATAAAATGGCTTCAATTATGGAAAGCTATGCATAAATATGGCGGTTAATTACTGAATGCAGTAATAGTTTGTATGATGAAAGTAAAACATGTAGGAGAATATTCTGTGAATGTTTCAATATTGAGCAGGTAGCAGATAAGCAATGTCTGTTCCTTTGGATGTTTAACATATTTTTGATATATGTATAAAATATTTGCCTGATATCAGAGGTTTGCTGGTTGGCATGTGAAATATATATTTTTGTATGCACAGAACCTGAATGATTTATTACAAGAGATATTTCACTATATGATGCATCAGTGAGCCTGGATCTGGAAATTAATGAATCAAAGAATAAGTTGCATCAGTTAGGGAAAATTGGGCAAATAATTGTATTATACATAAATGATGAAAAGTAGAGCAAATAGATAAATGCATATACACTTATCATTGAATACAGTAGAGATGGAAAAAGAGCTAAAGAAATTTTAAGACATGCAAACATTGAAACTTGAGTGAGAATATATAATCTGTTATGAAGAAGGAAAATTAAAGAAGTGTCTGTATATCAGTATGCAGTAAAGTTGTTAAGTGAAAGAGAGGGTTGGGTATGTCAAGAGAAATAGGAAAAAAAGATGAATGCTACCAAAAAAACAGATAGTGTGCATACCAACTAAAACAGGAAGCAGCAGGATAGGGAATGAATAAGTGCTGAATAAACGTGCAAAAAGTGACTGACCAGGATGTTCTTATTAAGGAAGTTGGGATCAGACACTTTGCCAATCTAAAGTATTTCAAATCATCTGTCAACAGCGCAGACCTACTCTGTGTGCAACCCATAATTGAAAGAACTGACTCCAGTTTCTGCACCCAATCTCCTCTCCTACAGTACGTGGTCCACATTTGGGTATGTGTGTGTATGTTAAAGGCTACCATTCGTGTTTTCTCTAGGGAGGATGCTACATGGCAGCTTTCTGCCATGTTCACCCTCCTTTTTAGAGAATAACGTTTTCAGAATAAAAGCCTGTAAAATCGTAGCTCTTTATTGCTAGCCGCTCTCGCGGTTTCCTTTTCGCCGATTTTGGCGCCCTTGGGAAGCCGATCGTGCTTTGAAGCTTTAGAACCTTTAGAAGCGAAGCTTTTGCTGGCAGGCAAACGTGACTTCACTCAAGGAGGATTCGGACTAATTTCTGTCTTCTCGAGCCCCGCCTTTTCTCATTGGCTGGCCTTTTGCGCGTCTACCCCCATCTTTTCCATCCGATTGGCCGCTCAGCAGTTTTAACTATTCCTCTCCGGCCTTCTCATTGGCATTTTCAAGCGGTCCACCTCCAACTTTAAACAGTGATTGTTGCACCCCTTCCCCACCCCCTACCTCTCCTTCCTTTTCCAGTTTTCCAGCTGTTGGGGGTGGGAGGGAGAGGGGAAGACCGATACCCACGCAGCTCCGGAAAGCTGGGGAAAAGAGGGTGGTGCGAATAAAGACGCATCGGTGAGTTAGCAATAACGCCGTGCCCTGCCCCTTTAAGGCATGCCGCTGGAACAGCTGGCCTAAAAGGAGCTAGAGGGCCGGTGCTGGGATGGATAAGAGGCGTTAAGGCAAGTTCGGCGAGAGAGAAGCGGAGCAGAGTTAAGGGGGCGCCGAGTTCTCGCCTCTCCCACAACGCAGCGCAGTGGGAGAGGAAAAGGCCTCCTAGATCTAGATCGACGTCTCCGAATGAAGGGATTTCCCTTTTTCTTTTTCTGAAATGACGCGAAGCCCGCCGTTTCCCTGGGATTCCCATCGTTAGCTTTTTCTCCCTTAAGAATAGCGCTGTCAGGAAAGCGGGCTAGTATCCCAGAGGGTGCAGTGAGAAAAAAAAAATAGCTTTCGGGAGGTGGAGAAATTATGCTAGAAAGGAAACGAGACGTGTAGGGTTATTTGGAGTTGCAGGACAGGGCTCGTTTGATTTTCCTTTCGAATCCTTTTGTCTAAAGCCACATTCCCCTCCTCCATTCTGTGCATCTGCGTTTCCTTCCTGCCTCTGTACCTGTCTGTTACGCCACTGACCAGCAAATCCGCAGGGTTCCTGTTTCATGTTAAACATAATATGCTTTGATTGGTTTTGGCTTCCTGTATCGTGTGACTCTGAATTACGATGGTTTACCAACTCATGATGAAATCATGTTTAATGCAAATGTATCATTCCGGCCATGTCTTCCTTCCTAATGCAATGCTTCATCAATTCATTAGCTGTATATTACTCCTCACCAGCCATTTCTCTACCCCTATGTGTAGCTAGGCTTAGTGTTAATTCAACCTTGGAAAATTGAAGTAGAATCAGAATTTATGCTATTATTGTGTGACTGGTAACTGGCCTTCTGTTAATGATGGTGCCTTTCTCCCCCCCCCCCAAAGGGCTCTTTTGGAATATGTTTTTATTCCTAAACTGGGTCTACAAATAGTAAGAATTAGTTCCATGTAAGGAGATACAGAAAGAGTTTGCATCAATGTAGAAGCTATAGTTTGCTCAGCTGTACTGCAGAAATAATCAGATTCTGTGGATTTTAGCAGAATTTACTTCCATACAATAATTGTTTATGGATTTATTTAGTTGATTTATACCTGTGTCTTGTCCTCTGTAGAATTTGGGGAGACATGGATGGACTGTATTCCTGCAATACCATAAACTTAAAAATAACATTTTAGTTCATTATATTTTGTGATTTCAGCTTGCATAGTTAATGGTTCAGCATGTTTTGTATACAAAATGAGACTGATTGAACAAGCCATAGTTAGGTTAATCACGAGAAACACAATCTTAGTAATAGTAATAGTAGTAAAGTTGGAAGGGACCTTGGAGGTCATCTAGTCCAACCCCCTGCTCAGGCAGGAAACCCTACACCATTTCGGACAAATGGCTGTCCAGTCTCTTCTTGCTGCTGTAGTTACATGGTTTTCAGACTCATCTCTGCTAAGCTACATTTAGTGCTATCAGACCAAGATAATACTTAGACTGGATTTCCATGCTGCTGTTTCAAATCTATAGTTCTAAAACCAAAGGGAAAAAATATTTACAGAAAGGAACATTGGGTTACATTGTGCCATTGATGGGCAGGTGTGTCTGAGATGATGAACCTGGTTACATGGGTTTTAATGTCAAGGGATACTAGACCTGTTGACTGGCTGGCTTTGGCATGCCTAACTATAACTGGGCTCAGACCATGCACTGAACCACAAATGGCCAACCAGGTAGTAGGTTATGTCAATCTAGCTTGTGTGGTTGGTTGATGTATAGTTCAGTGTGTTGTGTGAGCCCCAGAAAGTGGGCTTTGAGGAAATTGTGGTTAAATAAAACATTAATAAGCATTGTATAAACACACCTTTTATCTTTGTGCATGTCTTGAAAGTTCAATCATTCTCCCAGTAGAGGGAGGTTTTTTCAACTAGAATAATTCCAGTTTAAGAACAGGACTGGGTGTAGCTTATTCCAAGGCTTTATTCTTTGGATTTATAAATGATTCAGAATAATCTTGACTTCCCTCCAGAGTTAGCGTGATGTGCTTGCTCCACTTCTCTTTCTTTCTCTTTCCAGGTTGGGGCCATGGCCACCTTTACACGGCAAGAGTTTTACCAGCAGCTGTTGAGCAGTTGTGTATTGCCGACTGCTCAGCAGGGTTTTGAACAGGTTTGGACTCTGCTGCTCTTGTGTCTAGCTTGCCGTCTCCTATGGAGGTTATGTAAGTAGAGGCTGAGTTTGCATACATATGAGATAGTATCAATTAGCTAGTTTCCAGTTCAGTGTTGTTTGCTTGCAAACATTTCATTATCCAACTAGGTAACATCATCGGTATGAGGGAGTTTGGGGATTGCAGCCTGTTTATATATAATAATTTGTCCCGCAAGTTTTGGTGGGTATGTAGTTTTCTTTGGTGGTTCCTTGACATGGATATTTTTTTTATTACACACACACACACACACACACACACACACACACACATAGGGCTCTGGTTATTCGGGTTTTCTCCCGCATCAAATTGGAAGTGTCTTGGCGACGTTTCGACGAAGTCTCATTCGTCATCTTCAGGCTGGTGTTTTCGGCTTCGTGCTTCTAGAAGCACAAAGCCGAAAACACCAGCCTGAAGAAGACGAATGAAACTTCGTCAAAACGTCGCCAAGACACTTCCAATTTGACACGGGAGAAAACCCGAATAACCAAAGACCTACGTACACCCGCGAAAACTTCAGAAAACATATATATATATATATCAGTAAAAAAGGAAGCGATCACCAGGAAATAAAACACCAAGGTTTTAATAAATAAAATCAAGCTTTCGATGGCTAACATGCTTATAAGTAGGTTTCCTCACTAGCTGGCTTGTATCCTGACGATGATGGTAGATGTTAGCCATCGAAAGCTTGATTTTATTTATTAAAACCTTGGTGTTTTATTTCCTGGTGATCGCTTCCTTTTTTACTGAAATGTATGTACCCAGGAATCGCTATTCTTCAATTTTTAATGTAATTTTTATATATATAAAAATATTTATATATATAGTCAATTACCAATAAAACGTGAACACCAGGAATATAATAAACTATAAAAGTTTAATACCATCACCGATTACCAAGCTTTCGTCAGATACTTCTGACATCGTCAGGGTTAATGCTGGTCTGTGGGAGAGTGCCTTTATAGGTGAGCCGTCATTTGCACACAGCTCCTAGATCTTGTTGTAGGTCCTAATTGATTTAACTGCTTTTTAATTACGGCTTCCATACTGATGACTCCTCTTTTCTTGCTTTTACTGCTTGTGGGTGTGTCAACTACAGATTACAGCACACTCAGCTGGGACCCGTGACACGGTCCAGGAGCCGAGTGCAAATGATTAGCGGTTGCATATAAGCTTTCCCAACGACTACCGTTTACACCCTGATGATGATGTCAAGAGCTCTTGACGAAAGCTAGGTTCAGTAAATAAAATCTTTTATATTTTATTCTCTTGGTGATCGACTATTTATTGATTTTAACATGAACATACCCGAGTCATATTTTTACTTGTATAGCTGATATATATATCAGCTATACAAGTAAATATATATACACACACAAGTAAATATATACACACATACATACATACATACATACATACTCCATATTATGGCTAGCTGTGCTGGGTGAACCCAGCCATGGTGAGCTTCTCTTTCTCTCATCCAAGCTCCCTGCCTCTTCTTTTCCAGCTCTGCCATCCTATGCTAAGCACCTGAGCACTGTCGCTAGTGGCTTCTACGCCCTCTATCACTTTTTTCAGCTGCAGATGGTGTGGGTTGTGCTCCTCAGCCTCTTGTGCTACCTGGTTTTATTCCTGTGCCGCCACTCAACCCAGCGTGGAGTTCTGCTCTCCATCACCATCCTCATCTATTTGCTTATGGGGTAAGTGAGGAATGTGGGTGGGCGTAATTAAAAGGTTGACACAGCCAAGAGCAATTCATGAGGAAAGGGTTAACTAATACAGTAGTACGTTGCACCAACAGGAGAGACTAGTCAATAAGTGGGACACCTTTCATAAGGGAGCACAAGGTAAACAGGTCCTTAAGAGTTGGAGGCTCTTAAGAATGTATATTTATTCTGTTTTGGCCAGCCCCATTTTCCGAGGTTTACCTATTTCATGGATGAAAGCCACCCAAACCACCTACACTTATCCAAATAAAAATGAGTTGAATAATTCTTAGGTTTTAATAACACATTTTATTTTTTTATTAAAAAGGAGCTAACTTTTACAAATATAACCCACCCAAACCACAAGATGCTCTCAAATCAGTTCCCAGGATAGTAATTCCAGAGGACTGGAAAAGAGCTGATGTAGTTCCCATCCTCAAAAAAGGAAAAAAAAATGGATCCAGGAAATTATAGACCTATCAGCCTGACCTCAATACCTGGGAAGATTCTGGAAAAGATAATCAAACAACGAATCAACGAACACCTAGAGGCAAACAAAGTCATTACTAAAAGCCAACATGGGTTTGTCAAAAATAGATCATGCCAGACAAATCTTATTGCATTCTTTGACCAAGTGACAAAATTAGTGGATCAGAGGAATGCTGTGGACATAATTTACTTGGACTTCAGTAAGGCATTTGATAAAGTAGATCACAACCTACTACTTGATAAGATAGAAAAATGTGGGGTAGACAGAAACACCACCAGATGGATCCGTAGCTGGCTGACCGGCCGTACTCAGCGAGTGGTCCTCAATGGAACTGCATCTATATGGAGGGAAGTGTGTAGTGGGGTGCCCCAGGGCTCTGTTCTGGGCCCAGTGCTCTTCAACATCTTCATCAACGATTTGGATGAAGGGATAGATGGGGAACTCATCAAATTTGCAGACGACACCAAGCTGGCAGGAATAGCCAACACTCCAGAAGACAGGCTTAAGATACAGAAGGATCTGGACAGACTTGAACACTGGGCACTAACTAACAAAATGAAATTCAATGGTGAAAAAAGCAAGGTTCTACATTTAGGCAAGAAAAACCAAATGCACAAGTACAGCATAGGTGGCACCATGCTCAATAGTAGTAACTGTGAGAGGGACCTCGGAGTCCTAGTAGACAATCACCTAAATATGAGCCAGCAGTGTGCTGCAGCTGCCAAAAAGGCCAACACAGTGCTAGGCTGCATTAACAGAGGGATAGAATCAAGATCACGTGAAGTATTAATACCACTTTCAATGCCTTGGTAAGGCCACACTTGGAATACTGCATCCAGTTTTGGTCACCACGATGTAAAAAAGATGTTGAGACTCTAGAAAGAGTACAGAGAAGAGCAACAAAGATGATTAGGGGACTGGAGGCTAAAACATATAAGGAACGGTTGCTAGAATTGGGTATGTCTAGTTTAACGAAGAGAAGGACAAGGGGGGACATGATAGCAGTATTCCAATATCTCAGGGGCTGCCATAAAGAAAAGGGAATTAAGCTATTTTCCAAAGCACCTGAAGGCAGGACAAGAAGCAACGGGTGGAAACTAATCAAGGAGAGAAGCAACCTAGAACTAAGGAGAAACTTCCTGACAGTGAGAACAATTAATCAGTGGAACAGCCTGCCTCCAGAAGCAGTAAATGCTCCAACACTGGAAGTTTTAAAGAAGAGACTGGACAGCCATTTGTCCGAAATGGTGTAGGGTTTCCTGCCTGAGCAGGGGGTTGGACTAGATGACCTCCAAGGTCCCTTCCAACTTTACTACTATTACTAATTGCCAAGTGGGGCAGAGTTGACTATGTTACTGATATTTACATTTTTTTTTTGATGGCCAGATTGAGAATAGTAAGTTAAATTGTCCCTGTGCCAGTTATTTTCCTCCAAATGTATCATTAGTTCTGTCTGGGAATTATGGAATTATAATTCAAAATAGTTGGGAGATTGCCAGGTTGAGAAAAGCTGGGCTTATCTAAATAATACTGTAAACAAGTCAACTAAGGCACAATAAGTTAATAATCTTTCTTAGTATCCATACATAAACTACCATTTTAGCTCCTCCAAAATTTGCAAGCTGCATTTTAACAAAGATTTGTATTTCATTTATTTCCAAACCTGATTTACAGTATCTTGAAACCAGTATTCATCCTAATAAGCATTGTTGTTGGTTGAATGTCCTGATTTCTGACTCTTTGAGGTTTGGAGGACACAATAATAGCCAAGTCTGGTTAAAATGCAGCATGCAGTTGAGGGAGAGGGGTTAAAGTGTTAAGTATGTGTGTATTTGTATCCTTGTTGATGGTTTTTAGTGTATATTGTTGGAAATAGCATTAGAGAGAGGTTGAACCAATGGACTAAGAAAGCTGACCAATTGTTTTGGTAGGTCAATGGGAAATGCAGGAAGGAAGGCATCTGTGTCAACAGTTGGAAGCAAGTATGGACAAGAATGAATTAGAATATTCTTTATTGGCCAAGTGAGATCGGACATACAAGGAATTTATCTCTGGTGTATAAGCTGTCAATGTACATACAAAAAAGCAGAGTGATAAGTTATAGATCATAAATCACAAGATATAATCATCAATCATGAGGTACAAACAAGTCATAAATCGTAAGATACTAATAGGAGAAGGTAGTAGGAAAGATGAGAAAGATGAGAAGATAATAGCAATACAGCCCGACTACATCGGTCAATATCTTAAGGCATAGGACAGTGCTGTGGAAGTTAGGTGTGTAACAGAATGGGGAGGGGAAACTGTCTTTGTGTCTAGTTTTTTTGGCATGCAATGTCCTTTAGTGGCATCCTGAGGGGAGAAATTGAAACAGTTTATATCCTGGATGTGAGGGGTCTGTGGATATTTTCTCAGCCCTCTTTCTGGTTCGTGCAATACTGGATTACTGTATTTACTGTAATAACATAGCTATTACTGGAAGATTCCATAAATTTTGGAGTCAGAGATCAAGGAAAGCAAACTAACAAGTTATAATAGCATAATTCCTGGAGTCTGTTGCATTTCTAGTCACCCAGTCCTTTGACGTGAAGGTACTCCTTTTTACTGGAAAGTTCAGCAAGAAGAGAATTTGGAAACTTATCTGGATCTTAGGGAAAGGAAAGATAGCAAATAAAGGACTGATACCCAAAGATAATGATTTTTTTTTTGTTTGTTTCCTGCTTTTCCCTCCTCCTCTATAGAGAGATGCATATGGTAGACACTGTGAGTTGGCATAAGATGAGAGGTAAGTGACAGTTCTCCTTCTGTTCATATCTGGTTTTAATGTGATAAGGTGTATCATAAAAATCTATGTATTGAAAGAATGTGCTGCCTTTCCAAAAGCATAAAGTACTATTCAGCATGTGTACCAATCATAGCTTTGCAGCTAGGAAATTCTATCAAGACTTATAAACTGAGTTGTTAGAAGGAATGATACTTTTCTTATATACGGGCTTCCATTCATAAATCCCATTGGATCTGAATACCTTTTCTGGATCAAAGAAAAATAATTTGTGCTCGTAACAAATTCTTTAAGTTACTTGTTAAGAATGTCAGCACTGACCCTCTCTCTCCTTTCTACCACTAGGTGCCCAGATGATTGTGGCAATGAAGGCTGTGTCATTGGGCTTTGATCTGGACCGGGGCGAGGTGCCAACCATTCCATCCCCAGTTGAGTTCATGGGATATATCTATTTTGTTGGAACAGTTATTTTTGGACCCTGGTTCCGCTTTCACACCTATCTGCAGGCTGTAGAGAGCAGGAAAATAGTGAGTGCACTCTATTGTCTATTATTGGCAGTGTGGTGGGCAAGATCTGGTTGGTGGGAAAAGGATGGGCCACATTTAGCTTTGAAGATTTATTAAAAATGACACCTTCAGCCTGGGCATTTTTCTCCAGGCTTCCTATAGTTGCAAATGATCAAGCCATGACAGAGTTCTTTAATTTTTCTATTTAGACTCAGAGTTGGAAAGGTTTGGGCCATGGAGAAAGAAGGACCTCTATTTTTTTTTATAGAAACCATATTACAGTTATGTTTAGGAAATGATTATTTGAATTAACTGATTGTTTTCTTTCATTGGCCAGAATAGAAGCAGCCATATTTTTACAGAGTAGTTGGATAGCATTCTGCCTACATCTTTCAGTCTTATGTAGAGGAGAAACAGTAAAGTAGAATGTTGAACACTATTCCAAACCTTCAATGATACTTTCATGAAGAATTTCTATAAAGTGCAACCCTTCCACTAGTTCACCCTCCACCAACTTAATCATTCCATTAAGAGAGAATTGTGCCACCTTTGGGGGGGGGTCAGGGAGGGATGGCCTCAGTCTTTGAATGACTTGCTAAGGGTCCCATTGCAAAACTCAGGTGGGTGGGGACTAAGAAGTAGTAAAAAAGATGTTGAGACTCTAGAAAGAGTACAGAGAAGAGCAACAAAGATGATTAAGGGACTGGAGGCTAAAACATATAAGGAACGGTTGCTGGAATTGGGTATGTCTAGTTTAACAAAGAGAAGGACGAGGGGGGATATGATAGCAGTGTTCCAATATCTCAGGGGCTGCCACAAAGAAGAGGGAGTCAAGCTATTTTCCAAAGTGCCTGAAGGCAGGACAAGGAGCAACGGGTGGAAACTAACCAAAGAGAGAAGCAACCTAGAGCTAAGGAGAAACGTCCTGACAGTTAGAACAATTAACCAGTGGAACAACCTGCCTCCAGAAGCGGTGAATGCGCCAACACTGGAAGTTTTTAAGAAGAAACTGGACAGCCATTTGTCCGAAATGGTATAGGGTTTCCTATCTGAGCAGGGGGTTGGACTAGATGACCTCCAAGGTCCCTTCCAACTTTATCATTATTATTAAATAGGAAGTAAATAAGCACACAATTAAATAGAAGTGAACTGATTTAAAATATAATTAAATCTTACTTAAACATTTATTTACATGCTACCTCCACCAGCAGAGTATCTCTAGACAATTATCGGCCACCCAAGTGGATCAGATAGGAAACACACAAGATGAGCCAATTCTACTTTATTGTAAGGTTTTTTTAAAACAGAATCTTGCAAGTCTGAGGTTACAAATCTTCCACTGTCATTTACCACTGATAAGTTAGGGTAGATCCTTTCTAAATTCCTTCCTCTGCCTGTTACTCAACTGCGGCTCAAGGTTTTTGTATCTATACATGGGGTTGTACTGTGGGGACTGCTTTGTAGCTGATGGAGATGCATGTGAATGAAGAACTACAGGGACTGGAATCCACATAGAGGATGCTCATTACATAATGATTGGTTTTGATTCTTTCCACATAGACTTTCTCCTGGTTTCAGAAGGTCTTTCTGAGCTTCTTCCTCTGCCTTGTGTGCCTCATCATGTCCACCTGCATAGCTCCCTATCTCTTCTCATACTTCATACCCCTCTACAGCTACAAGCAACTCAGGAAGTAAGTGCCTTGTTTTGAATTGATGTTCTAAGACTCAATTTCTCATAGGTTCCGTAGCTGGAAATGAGTTTATTAAGGAAACTTGCCAGCAGAGCTAAAGGAGCTTTCAAATACCAAATTTGAATTAGAAATCAAGTAGATTTAGAAAAAAAAACCCCTGAGAAATATAAACATGAAATGTTTTGAAGTTCCTTATTCTTTACCTAATGCCTCCATCAACCCTCTTCCGTCAATACCTCTGGATTTTTAGCTGTGGCAAGACACATCTTTAGTATTTTTAAAAGGACTTTTAGTATTCCCTTGTTTTATTTTGGGGTTGGCTTTATGATGCCATCAGCACTGGATAAAAGGAAATGGAGTAGAATCGACTGTACAGCTATGCCCTTGAAATATCAGCTCATTTGTATACAGATCACCAGCTCTACACAGATAGTTTGGAAGCAGTAGCCCACTTTAATCCCAGTCTTTCATTCTAAAAAGTACTGTTTCAGGAGTGTTGTGGTTATATGCCAGTATGTTCTGGAAAGCTTCTGATTGTCATAATATTTTTTAGTAGGGTGTCCATCCTGCAATTGAAGATGATTGTGATATCTGTAATTAGAAAGATTGGGATAGTGCCTCAAGCACCTGATGTTGGATCTAATCAAAAAAGAAAACAGCAAATTGTTAGTTGTTTAATTTAGCATTTCTCTTTACCATCCAGAAGAGATTCTTGCCAGATATTGTGTCTCAGAAGTGAAAAACGACCTGAGGGAAGCACCATTTACCATTGCGTTTCCTCATTAAGTTGATTACGACAGAGAAAATCTTTCTCTCCAGATGAGGGTTCTTAATGATTCATCTTGTACTTTCATCATCAGATTAAATATGGTGCTGTGGTAGAGAGCTGAACATTTGTCTGTGTGACTATTCGGACTATAGCAAGCCCACTTGGCATTTCCAACAATTAAATTGTAGGTCTTAAATTTTATCTAAGCTGATCATTTATTTCTAAACCACATCTTGCTTATCTTAACCTGAGAAAAAGAGGATTAGAACCATACTGAAGCTTGTAGTTCTGATGCCTGAATGTTGTGTAATCCTACACTGCATGAAACAGAAAATCCAAGGAAAAATGAAACATTTTTATATAGGAGTAAGGAATTGTGATTGTTCAGAAGTGGCTGAATTCTCATCAATGGCAGCCAGCAACAGGGAGAGATCCTGCAAATGGTAGCTCATCCACCTCAGTAGGCCTCTGGTTTGGTGACTTCACATTTTGGGTTTAACAGTTGAGAGATCAAGAGAAACCCAACAATTGTGGCATCTTTCAACAGCATGGGGAGAAGTTGTGCATGTCATACTTTTCCCACACGTAGTTAACTTTCTCAAAAGGTGCTTTTTCAGAAAAACACAATTCAGAATGTACAGTGACTTAATGAACTTCTTTTTTCTCTCTTTCCACCAACTTTAACTTTGTTTAATCCTTCTCTCTCCTCCCTTGCTTTCTCTCATTGGGATCACATCCCTCGTGACAGGAAGCGCAGAAGCAGGTAATATGATTTAGATGATAGCATTTGGGTTCTTTTTTCCCCAGTCAGACATCTCATTCACAATTCTTGACATCTACACGACTGTTGTGTACATCTCACCGTCAAACCATTTGTTCTGTCACTTTATTAGGAACTTTGTAATACGAGATTTCTTTCAAGCTTACTTCAGAGATGTTTGTGGCCCAGCAATTGTGGCACAATTGCTTGTAGCACGTTGGCATCAAGTCATTATGGCTCACTATTTGAGACAATATGTCTTCAGAGGTCTCTAACCTCACCTGTGGCCTGTAGGCATAAATATTTCTGCATTAGTACCTCCTATGGTAGCTTTGCTCTAATGGCATGTATAGGTTTGCCTTATTACCTTGAAGCCATTCAGGGGCTCTATTCCTCCATTGCAGAGGTATTGTATAAATTATGTAACAATCAATTTTGACAATTTGTCTTGTGAGCTACAGTCAGTAGATACCAAAAATTAGTTTTTTATTCTCAGCATGCTATCACACTTCGTCTAATATTAGAAAAATCTGAAAGACATTTTTACTGAGAAGATGGCTGAAAAACAAATATCCCGTTAGTAGAATTAAAACTGCTGAGAAGTTGTTAGACAATATTTTGGAACTCTATTGGTTGTTGGAGAAGAAGAGAGGCTATGAAAAGCCAACACATCCCAGCTCCATAGCCAAGTGAATTTATGCTTTGTCCACCTAATGTATGGTCAGCCTTAAATGAAGGAAATAGGCTCATTTTTGGTACAGCAGCTATTATTGGAAAGCAGAAAAGCAAATGATCAGTCTGGCCATGAGACATTCTCATTAGAGATCAGATTGTTCAGCTGGAAGTAATCAGTCCAGAATGAACTTTTTCTAGAACTTTATAGGTTCTAGGTGGAACTTCATTGGTTTCCCGAGAAGGAAGTGCCGCATCATGGATGCTGGAAGTAAGACATTGGAACCTAACTTTGGGATCCATGAGGCAAGATATCTGTTAGTATATATTTCAGAAATCAATGCTTTAACAGCAACTACTTTGCCTGTGAAGAGTGTAAGAAGTTTAAAATTAGGCAAGAAAAACCAAATGCACAGGTATAGTATAGGTGGTACCTTGCTCAATAGTAGCAACTGTGAGAAGGATCTTGGAGTCCTAGTGGGCAATCATTTAAATATGAGCCAGCAGTGTGCTGCAGCTGCCAAAAAAGCCAACACAGTGCTAGGCTGCATTAACAGAGGGATAGAATCAAGATTACATGAAGTGTTAATACCACTTTACAATGCCTTGGTAAGGCCACACTTGGAATACTGCATCCAGTTTTGGTCACCACGATATAAAAAAGATGTTGAGACTCTAGAAAGAATACAGAGAAGAGCAACATAGTTGATTAGGGAACTGGAGGCTAAAACATATGAGGAACAGTTGTTGGAATTGGGCATGTCTAGTTCAATGAAGAGAAGGACGAAGGGTGACATGATAGCAGTGTTCCAATATCTCAAGGGCTGCCACAAGAGGGAGTCAAGCTATTATCCAAAGCGCCTGAAGGCAGGACAAGAAGCAACGGATGGAAACTAACCAAAGAGAGAAGGAGAAACTTCCTGACAGTTAGAACAATTAACCAGTGGAACAACCTGCCTCCAGAAGCGGTGAATGCTCCAACAGTGGAAGTTTTTAAGAAGAGACTGGACAGCCATTTGTCTGAAATAGTATAGGGTTTCCTGCTTGAGCAGGGGGTTGGACTAGATGACCTCCAAGGTCCCTTCCAACTTTATTATTATTATTAAATCTGCGTGACTTTCCACATCACAGAAGGATAGAATAGAATTCTTTATTGGCCGAGTGTGGTTGGACACACAAGGAATTTGTCTCCAGTGCATAAGCTTTCAGTGTACATACAAGTATTAGTGATAAATCATGATAATAAACAACATTAAAAAATACATTCATAAATCATAAAATATAACACTTCATCATAAATCGTAAGGGCTTCCTGCTTTCTCCAGTAAAGATTAGTTAAGAATCATTACCTCAATAGATTCCATTACTGAATTAGCATGTAGTATTTAGTCCACCTCTGCTCATATTCCCAGAGTATTTCCTAAAAAATACTCTGCAGTCTGACTTGTTTACTTTCAAGAAAAGACCCACAGTGAAGAACATTGTATGTGCTGGTAGTTCTTGACTTATGATCATTTGTTTAGCAATCATTCGAAGTTCTGAGGAAAAAAGTGACAACTAGTCTTCCCAGGGATCGCGATTCGAGTGCTTGGTAACCGTCACACATTTACGACGGTCGCAGTTTCCCATGGTCATGTGATTGCAATTTGCAACCTTTCCATCTAGCTTCTGACAAGCAAAGTCATTCGGAAGCCGGCAGATTAGGTCCTACATTGTGACTCACTTAATGACCATGATTCTTTGTTTAACGACTGTGGCAAAAAAGGTCATAGAATTGGGCGCGGTCACATGATGCCTCTCTTAACAATCACACAGCTTAATGATCGATTTTCCAATCCTATTGTGGTCATAAATTAAGGATTACCTACAGGGTGAAAAGGGCTATTGCATATAAAAAAAATTAAGGAGATGTGCAGTTGTCTGCAGTTGCCGTTGTGCCCAATTCTGGCTGAGAAACTATTCAAGGTGAAGTGCAAACTAGTGGAAAGCCTGGATCTGGGACTTTTTGATTATCTTTCTGGCAGGATTTATTCTTTTAAAATCAGCATACAAACACACACACACCAAATCCATCAGCCCAGTCTAGGGGAAGGCAACCTTGGCTCTTTTATGACTCGTGGCTAGATCAGGAATTCTGGGAGTTGAAGTCCACGAGTCATAAAAGAGTCAAGGTTGCCTACCCCTGGCCTAGTCAGAGGAGCAAGTGCCTTTAATGCAGTGGTTCTCAACCTTTTTAATGCCGCGACCCCCAACCGGTCGTAAGTTGAGGACTACTCAACCGATCGTAAGTCGAGGACTACTCAACTGGTGCAGCACCGTTTGCAGAATGGGACTTTTGGCGGGCTCAGCAGGGCAGAGACAGCCTGGACAATGCCTATTGGCTTTTGAAAGCCAATAGAATTAGACTGTATGCAAGAGAGTCTATTCTATTGGCTTTCAAGGGAGTAGCACAGCTAAGGAAAAGGGGAAAAAAATGGCGGACTGCATTGTTTGGCGACCCCCGTGAAATGGTCGTTCGACCCCAAATGGGGTCCCGACCCACAGGTTGAGAACCACTGCTTTAATGCAATGTTTTCTACAGAATTTAATCAATGGGGTAGCTTGCCAGGAGGGAGAAAAGGCTATTGCTTTTTTGTTAAGGGAGCATGGCAAAGAAAGGCAAGAGTAATCAGAATGCAAACAAAAAAAAAATGGAAGCTGAGTCAAACAGGAGACTTGATTATCTTGTCACATAATCACCAGAAAATCTCCCCCTCCCGGTTTAAGTGGGAGTAGGAGGTTTTTAGGAGGCTTCCGGTACTGATTTATTTCTTATTTGTTTTCTGTTTGACTTCTCTCCTTTTCTTTCCTTCCTTGTGCGTGCCAGAAGTACCTTAATGAGGTAAGTCTCCCTGGGGGCCTTAAACTTCTCTTGGAAAAGTGGGTGTGCAAATGTTTCATGAGTTTCTAAATTCTCTCTTCTTATGTGCAGGTGGCTCAGGGCTTACGAGAGTGCCAGTTCCTTCCATTTCAGCAATTACTTTGTGGGCTTTCTGTCTGAGACCACAGCCACCCTGGCAGGATCAGGTTTTAGAGAGGAAAAGGAGAATCTGAAATGGTGAGTGGGGTGTAAGATGGCACCTGGGATCCTTTGCTTAAAATCTTAAAATTCTCAAAGCACAATTGGGAATAAAGTAGGCAAATCAGAAACATCTTTATTTATAACATTTATTCAAATGTTAATCCTCTTAACATTTGTTACTGTTTTTATTCCTAGTCTTCTTTCAAGCTTTCTCTCAGTTTCTCTCCAATGAGCTCAAGGCGATATGCAGGACTTCTGTATGCAAAAAAAATAAAAATAAAATAATGCCACAAAAATAAAAAAAAAACCTATTACCTATTCTTTGCTCCAAGATTTCTTTTTCCACAGTGGTTTTCTTCCAAGGGGCAGTTAGAAGAAAGTGCAGAGAACTAATTCCTTAAAATGACATTTATTCACAATCAATTTCATGCATATTGCATATATTTAGTTGAAAACCGCCTGTAATTTTACATTCCTCTGTTTGTCTACCTTTTGCATGCCAGTCACACATTTTTCCTCACTCATCAACAGCCTCTCAAGCTCAGAAGTTCAACCACCCAGTCCTAAGCAAAGGCACGGGATAAAGATCCAACAGCAGAAAGGGGAGCTCCATAGGCTGGGGAGGCTTGCTAAAAAGCAGGTCAACAGAAGAGCAGATTCTAATTCTAACAATTCTTCAGCTGTGCATTTGGGTGGAGGTTCAGCATGGCTGATGTTCTCGTATTGCTCAAGCCAATGTTGTCATGGCTGATTTTTGTGAGTTCTTCCATGCAGTCCCAAACTAGTTCTAAGGTTGTAAGAGAAAATCAAAAACTTTGTCTGAAGCAGCCCATTGAATCCATCCTCCCATTCCCATTCCCACTCCACTCACTCCACTCTATTCTACCCTACCCTACCCTACTCTGTTCTGCTCTGCTGTACTCTATTTTCTTTATAAGATTTTTATCCCATCTTTATTACTTTTATACCTAATTCAGAGCAGAGAACATACCTCATACTCCTGCCTCCTCTTATTTTCCCCACAACAAGTGGTTTGAGCTGAGAGGTAGTAACTGGCCCAAAGTAACCCAGCTGGCTTTCATGTCTAAGGTGTGACATTTGTTCACTTTTCTCACATATCATGTTTCAGATGCCTGCATCCGTGTAAAACAAAATCTTTTTCAGTATTGGCACCATCAGCAACCTGACTTTCTTGTATTATGGTTTTGGTCGCACTATACCGTCATCTCCAGTTCTAATAATAAAATTTGATGGTCTGCCTCAATAACTGACTAACTACCTTTTGACCTGAAAGTCTCATTATATGGTACCCCAATTTCTCAAGATGTTTTAGACATGTCTGTTTAGTTTTCTTAGCAATAATATAGAAATGGATTGACATTGACATTGCCTTGTTTGATTCTGGAGTTTCTTCTTCTAGATCAGGGGTGACAAACTGCCGGCCCTCGGGCCGGTTTCATCATACCGAAGCCACGCCCAACCCATTGCCGGCAATGCAAAAAGAGTTGTGACACGTCACGACAGGTCACATGACATGGCGAGTTTGACACTCGTGTTCTAGATGGATTTGCTTCCATTAATCCCTAGAGCTTTCACCTGTCTTGGGTGCAATCTAAAGCAATTGGGCATCACTGACATTGAGAAAATCACCATCAGTCATTTGAAAAAGACAGCTTTACTCAGAAAAGCTTATATCCTGTGGTTTATTTATTTCATTTATTTTATTCTCTGTCTAATTAAAAAGACTCGGGATAAGGGGATTATAGTGAGTTAGAATTATAAATGTATTAGAATAAATCAAAACTATCAAACAAAACATCAATCATACAGTAAATAAACAATAAATTAATCCTTTTCCAGCATGGACATTAACAAAACCTCACTGGGGTTGAAAGCCCAGTGAAATAAAATTTTAAAATTTTCTAAGAGAATACGTGTGACTTAATTTCTTCCCTTTTAATCTTACCAGCAGCAGTAAAACTACCAGAAGCATCTGCTGCCACTAAAATCATTACTCTTCAGGTTACTGAAACTACTGAAAAATTCTGCCATGTTAATTTAATTGGGAAAATCAGGGCAGTCAAGGACTGACAGAATAATATTGCCTGCTTAATTATAAACATAGTTTTGTTGCTTAATGCATATTTAGTAATATTTCAAAATTGTAAATCAGTTGATTATAAGATGCAATGTTGTGGGAGAAACAGAATTGAATTGACCTTGGTGTACTTGCTTATGTAAGCATTGCTCCTAAGTGGTTTCAGAAGACTGATGGTAGTCCATAAGTTGAAAAAGATTCCACCTGTTTCTGTTACCTGTTCTTGAGATATTTGGGGGTTATCTCCATGGGAACCAGAAAGTTGGGTTCTTTCACTCCTATTTTTTTTTTTATTAGAAATTTTTAAAAGTTTTTACAAAGAACAAAAAACACAACAACAAAAAAAACAAAACAACCCTCACCCACCCACCTCCCAAACCACCCCCTCCATCCCCCCCGACCTTCCCAGAGCTGAATATAGGCTTGGTTAAAATTTTAAGAATCTTAAAAAAATTAAAAAATATATAAATCATAAGTATATCTAAATAGCTTACATAAACAACTTATAAAATGATTAACAATAATAATAATAATAATAATAATAATAATAATAAAGAAAAGAGAAAGAAGAAGAGATAAAAAAGTGCAATCTATAAAATATCAAAATTTATATACAAGTTATTAAAAAGCTAAATGATATTTTTTTATATCCAATTTATATTGTATAAAATTTATCCATTTTTCCCATACGGCAAGAAATTTCTCTTGCGATTGCTCCTTTAAGAAAGCCGAAATCTTTGCCATTTCCGCCAGATAAGAAACTTTAAAAAACCACTCTTGCAAGGTAGGCAAAGATTCCTTCTTCCAGTATTGCCCTACTAACAGCCTTGCGGCTATAATCAAATTTAACATCAATATAACCTCCTTAGCATCACAATCAGTAACAATACCTAACAAAAACAATTGTGGAGTAAATTTTACCCTCTTTCTAAAAATTCTTTGAATATTCCACCATATCTTAATCCAAAAGGCTTTTATATTTTTACACGACCACCAAATATGGTAATAAGTGGCATCCAGACAACCACATCTCCAACATTTAGGCTGTAAGTCAGGATACATAAGAGACATTTTTTGTGGATCAAGGTGCCATCTATAAAACATTTTATAAAAATTCTCCCTTAAGTTCTGGGCTTGTGTAAATTTAACATTCCTCACCCAAATAGTTTCCCAAGTATCCAGTAGAACTGGTTCATCAAAATTTTGTGCCCATTTAATCATACAGTCTTTGATTAGTTCTGATTCTGAATCCAGTTCCACTAGAACCCCATAGATTCTCTTGATGTGAGTTCGCCTTTGATCCTTTACTTGTTTAAAAAGATTTTCATCTTCTCTAAGCAAGCCCATATCACGATCCATCTTCCATCTATCCACTATTTGTCTGTACTGAAACCATGAATAGGTAACATTTTCATATGCTAAATCTTCCAAAGATTTTAACTGTCAATTTTGACCATCCCATCTAAGTAATTGTGTATAAGAAACCCTATCCATCTTAACTCCTCTCCTTATCCCCTCTATCGCATGCCAAGGTATAGCCCATAATGGTATTTTAAAATCACTTTTATAATATTTCCTCCAAACCCGAAGTAAAGAAATCCTTATAATATGAGATTTAAAAATCCGGTCCACTTTTTTATTGAAAATTAGATAGGCATGCCATCCAAAAAGTAAATCCCAACCCTCCAGATGGAGTATTTCTACATTTGTTAAATTTACCCAATCACTAATTAATGTTAAAGCCACAGCATCATAATATAATTTCAAATTCGGTACCTTGAGTCCACCTCTCTCACGGAAGTCTTGCATAATTTTAAGCTTTACCCTTGGTTTTTTCCCTGCCCAAATAAATTTATTAATGCCTTTCTGCCATTCATTTAAATTAATCTCATTCTTTAAAATAGGTAACATTTGAAATAAAAAGAGAAATTTTGGCAGGACATTCATTTTAATCACTGCAATTCTTCCCATAAGAGATAACTGTAGCTTCTCCCAATTCTTCAAATCTTTCTGTACCCTGACCCACAGCCTTTCATAATTGTTTTTATACAATTTTACATTAGAAACAGATAAAGTGACCCCCAAATATTTTATCTTATCAACAACTTCAAAGTCTGTCAGATTAACCAAAATCTGCTTGTCCAGATTGGTCATGTTTTTAGATAATATTTTAGTCTTATTATTATTAATTTTAAAACCCGAAACCCGTCCATATTGATAAATCAGTTGTAATAACTTTACTACAGAATAGGTAGGTTGAGACAAAGTAACCACCAAGTCATCTGCAAAAGCTCTTAATTTATATTCTTTTTTGTTAACTTCTATTCCTTTTATTTCCTGCGACTCTCGAATTTTAATCAACAAAATTTCCATCCCTGTCTTGTACCTTTTTCTATTGTAAAAACCTCTGACAAACCCCCATTAACAATAAGTTGTGCCGTTTGTTTTTGATATATAGCACCAAAAGCTTGTAATATTTTTTCTCCAAAATTCATTTCCTCAATTAACATAAACTGCCAATTCAATTGATCAAAAGCTTTTTCAGCATCTAAAAATATCAGCCCTGCAGAAATTTGGTTATTCTTATCTAAATATTCTAATAAGTTAATAATTTGTCTAGCATTATTCTTCATATACCTACCAGTTATAAAACCCGATTGATCCTTATGTATAAGCTGATGCAAAACCCTCTTTCACTCCTATTTTTAAAACAAATATTTTGTGTTTGCTCCAAATTCTGTAGCCTGTTATTTTTTTATATTGAAGCCACTTTCCTGGGACAGCCATCATCAGACAATTTCTAAAGTTCCTGCTAAGGTAGAAAAGACCGCAGGAGCTTCACGTCTTTTTAAACATGCCAGTTGGACAATTCTACACTTGTAGCTCAATAGATCCTTGACATCAGAGATCCTCCTTACATTTTGCCCCAAGTAATTGTTTATTCATTTCTCCTTTTTTAGGGACCTGACAGTGTCTCATCCTCTGAGGGTGGAGTTGCCACGTTCTATGGTGGAGGTGGTAACCAGCTGGAACCAGCCCATGTCACAATGGCTAAACTCCTGTGAGAATGCTTACATCTGTCTTGTCTTTAGAACATTTACTGTGTTCTGGGTGGAGCTCTTAGCTTTAAGTGCCTGTGCCTAAAATCCTGTCAATGACTCCACCTGATGGGAATCATATTTGTGGCTCTTTGTCATGGTTCTGAAAGATGAAACTCTTCAAAGAACTTTGAGGCATTGTTTACCTTAAGGAATCTTTACTCAAGCAGCAGATTTCCCCAAATATGTACCTATAACGGTTATATTGGCTGAGGGTGATGGGAATACATCTACCAAAACAAAATGAAGAAAAGCTAGGCTAGATGCTTCCTATTTTTATGCATCTTTCGGTAGGTGCAGACGTAGACTATGGATTGTTTTAACTTGTAGGTATAGAATTTCATATGTTTCTAAGGGAATTGCAATAAGATGGTTGTTTCAGTCATGGTTTGGTCAGGATCATATAGATTTTCTGCTCTCACTGTGGTTTATAAATGGCTGAGTTCATATGTTAAGCCAAAACTAAACAAAGAATATTATACATTGCACTTTGAGTGATAACAATTCTGGAGTTGTGAATTAAAGAATGGATAAAACAGCAGAAGATGGAAAGTGGGCTGTGCTTGCTAGCCCCACCTCTACCGATGCAATGTCTTCATTGAATTTTGCCCTTACATGATCTGAAGCTATGGGACTGCCTTCCTAGATGTCACATGTGATTTTAGAATCACTTCTGGGAAGTGTGCTTCTGTAGGACTGTGTCTATGTTGCAGCACGTGGGCAACTGTGAAATTGCATGATAGAAGCAGCCAACATACACACACACACACACACACACACATACCGCTGATTATGGGAGTCTAATCAAATAGCTATTAAAAAAACATACAGCTAAAATTAATTTTCGCCAGATCCCAAATAATTGTCTATTTTGCTAATTTGGGTCAAGAGATACAGGGCCTCCTATTAAGTCTGATCTTGATCAGCAACAACCTCAAGCCAGAAATAGGGAATAATTATTATAAGGCATAATTAGCCTTCAGGGTTCATTACTAGAAACGTGAGAGCCATCAGCATACATACTTTTAAGGCCATGGCTACAAAAAATATTAGATGGAATAAAACTCTATTCAAAGACAATATTTTTTGTGAAAGCTGATGGTTTGAGAGTTACCAGTAGCTTCCAAAAGGATGCTAATTGTTATGTCCTGGGCCGGCAGGCGCAGGCTGCAGCGATTGGCCTGGGCAGACCACGGGGATGCCCGGGACAAGAAAGGCTGCACCCAGCCTTGCGCACGTGCATAAGGTGGGAAAAGATCCCTTGCAATGATTGGACAGCAGGGTACTGTGCAGGGGGGCTATAAAAGGGGGCTGCATCATTTTGCAATCTGTTCTATTGATGTTTGCAATAAAGAAGGACTGTGTGACCGTGCTTCGTCTCAATGCCTCTTCTTCGAGAATGGAACACTAATAGTTCATTCTCATAGAGGAGCTGGACATATAATTCCTTAATGATTGGAATGATGGTCCAGAGTTTTTGGAAAGGGCAAGAGAATTGACTCAGCTGATTAATTCATTCTGTTTCAGATGTCTTTAAGAACTCCCTGAAACTGGGGATCTTCTCAGCCATCATTGTAACCTATGCAGCTAGTGCCCTCTTACACGTGAGTATCCCTTTATAAACCCATTCCCATATTCCATTGCAGCACGAACGAATCTTTAAAAGTCTGCCAATCTTTAAATGACATCAAATTAGTGTACTGTGAAGAAATCTCAGTGCATCGTTATACAATGATCTAATAGATTGCATCATCTGCAGTTACTTGTCCCATCTCCCCATACATGCAGTAACAAGTAAGTTGGGTGATATTTAGGAGAGATTGAGCAAGATAGAATGGCTGGAAATATATATATATATATATATATATATATATATATGCTCTGATTGGATGGGGGAGTGTTCTGTTTGGAATACTCAAGGCAGCCCACCATCGTAAACCCCCCTGCAACTCAGACTAACCTGAGTACAACAAAGCCCCCACCCAAACAGAACACTCCCCCAGCCAATCAGCACAGCCAACCCCCCCATCCAATCAGAGCACAGCCAAACCCCTAACCAATCAGAACATACCTCCACCCAATCAGAACACAGTCAAGCTCCCACCCAGTCAGTTCATACCTCCACTGGCAGTTAAAAGGAAGAAACAGCTAAGACCACACATTGCTCCTCGAAGCATGAAGCTGAAAACACCAGCCTGAAGATGATGAATGGGACTTCGTCAAAACGTCGCCAAGACACTTCCAATTTTACGCGGGAGAAAACCCGAATAACCAAAGACCTATATATATAGAGAGAGAAAGAGAGAGAGAGAGACAGACAGACAGAGAGACAGACAGACAGACAGATACGTAAATCCCTTTTTGGAGTAAAGGCTGCTATTTCCCTCTTCTACTCTCTCTAGAATTTTTGATCAGATTCTTCCTTAAGGGCAAATTGTTTCCTTCTAACCTAGCCTTTACCCATTTGTACATGCCAACTATGTGAAGGTTGGATTTATGGGAGCTTTGGGGTACAGCAGATTCATTTCCTCAGAGGATCAACAGTGTAAGACCACTAAAATCTCCTCCCTGCCTCACAGTTGCTAGGGAAGGTTTCTTTGCACTCTCTCCTCAGTGCTCTGGCATGGCCTGGCTCACTGCGTTGGGTCTTCACCTTCCCTCAGACCATATTACTTTGCACTGGGCTTTTTTTTTTTCTGTAAAAGTTTTATTAATTTTTTACAATAACAACCTTAGTCCTGGTGTACAGCGTGTTGTCTTGGTTCATGAATTTTTTTACAATCAATAGTTAATTAACAGTCAATAATAATTAATTTTTATATTTCCATAATTAGTATATCAATTGATAATATATTTCCTTGATCTTTTCTTCTCCCAATAGTATTCTCCTTCTTCAGCATTAAACAAATATAATTTTTAATATATAATATTATCCATATATAAATGATTACATAAAAACATTTCTTCTGTATTTATACCAACAATAATAGCGTCCATATATAGCATTTTTTTTTCTAGTAAACCATCATAAGTGCCATAGTCTCTGTAATTAGCCTTGTCAAGCTGGCCAAAACTCAAAATCCAATTTTATATAGTTCTTGTCTTTATATATAATTTTTATAATCCACTGTAATTTTCAATTGTCAAGGTTTCAGTAAAATCAATGTTTTATAACAATTTGTTATAAAACAATTTGCTTTCCAACTCTTTCAGGCAAGAAGTTCTTATTATTTTTCTTTTTTTATATATATAAGTTCATCAAAATCCTTTGGAATATAATCTTAGCCTTTGTTTTAGTTTCTGAGTTTGATCAGATTGTAGTATTTTAAATTTAATTTCAATATGTTTCTTTCCTCCTTAAAGGTTAATTTGTCGCTTCCATCTATGGGGGAATAGGAATGTAGTCCCCTCCCCTCATTTTTGCAGGTTTTTTGCTTTGGGGATCTTTCCAGGGGACTTAGTTGCAAAATAAGGGAGAGAAGCTCAAATACTTTCACCAATTCCAAGCATGGTGGCCCATATATTCATTTTTTTCATGAAACCCAACTTCCTGCTGATCATTGGCACAACCTTTGATCTAATTATTTTAACTGGTTTTGAGGATGGGCCATTCAGGTTGACCAAGATATTAATGATGTCATCTTGCTTTCCTGAAACATCATCTCCTAGACTGCCATTTTGGAAGTTCATAAACTGGATAGTTTAACTTATGTTGCCAGAATTTATGAAGTCTGCCTTCCAGGCATCTAAGATGCTTGCTGTTTTGGATTCACAAAACACGATGAGCTGTTGACATTAGTGTTTATAATGTATAATAGGAATGTAGCATGATGATATATGTATTCATTAACTAAGTTCGTCTGTTGTGGAAATAGCCAAAGATTGACTGCCTGGGAACAGATTTCTATCACTTGCCAACTTAGTGAGATAGGACGGTTTGGTTTGGTTTGGTTTGGCTTGGTTTGGGAGGGGGGATGATGGCGATGGGGCTAGAAATCTGGATTTTCAGAGATATGGATTGCTTTCATTCATAATGATTCCTACTCAGTTCTGTGCAGTGAACTTTCTGCAACTAGCAAGAATTGATGGAATAGGACAGTGGTGGCAAACCTATGGCACAGGTGCCAGGGGCGGCACTCAGAGCCGTCTCTGTGGACACATGCGCTGTCGCCTCAGTCCTAGGCCTTCAGCTGGGTTTTATAAAACCTTTTCTCTTTAGGCTGCCCCCGCTGTGTGCAAAAAAAAAAAAAAGGTTCAATCAATCAATCAATTTCAACTTCTTGCGGGAAAAAAAAGATCTTGCAAAGTTGGAATTCATTGATTGAACTTTTTAGTCCCACCCAGTCTGCTGTTACCACTGCAGCCACACCCACCCAATTGGCCACACCCACCCGGCACTCAACAATGCATAAGTGGGTTTTGGGTTGCAGTTTGGGCACTTGGTCTCTAAAAGGTTCGCCATCACTGGAATAGGAGATGCTAATTATATCTTCCCTTTGAAATTTAAAGCTTCTTCTACTGGCAATTCTTAGAAATACACTCCATAGATTGCTTGTAAACTAGACCTACACTAACCTTAAGTGAGGAACTCTTTAGATTCTGTTCAGTAGGATGCTTTATTTATTATTATTTTGATAGATTTAAAAACATTTCTGTTCTACCTCTCTGGCACTACTTTGTGTGTTTGTCGAAGCTCGTGTTGCCTTTGTATCATCCATTGGTCAACCAAACGGAGAACAAAATCAGTAAACCAATCAGTACCAAGCCAAAGAAACAAAATAGGCTATGGTTTGTATAGTCCGGCTGACCTTAAATTTGTCAGAGTTCCCATCATACGCTTGAGCTTCACATATGCTAGCTGTCAGTCTGCCATAAACTTTGGGGGGTCAGTAGGGAGTCAGTAGGGAGAACTTTCCAGAGACACCATCTCAAGGTCTAAGCATTGGGAATGGAATGGATCACCAACCAGCCCCATCAAAGAGACAGTTACCAAAACAATTTATTCAAATATAATTGGACAATAAGGGACTAGCAAGGGGGAGGAACTGAACAGGGAAAGTTAACCGGGAAAGTTTGATATGCAAATGTCAGTTCTGGCTTTGCTATATTGTAATCTACTTGGCTTTTAGTAAAAGCATACCTTTCACTACAAATGGAGTCAAGAGTCTTTCTTAACTAAAGCACCAAGTCAGGGCATGTCTGACAAACTTGTTCTTCCTTCCCCTGTGTTTCCTGGCTATGTCCTCTTGGGGGGAGATCTGTTCATATGAGAAGAATTGCTATCCAGTTTTTTAATCCGGCATCTTCGGAAATCAGTCTTCTTGGCAGCTGTTCTGTGCATCTACTTTTAAAGGTGACCTGGTACAAAGAGGGGTCAGATGTGGCTGTTCTAACTGCAATCTCATTTCTTTTAGGGGCTAAGCTTCCATTTGGCTGCTGTGCTGTTGTCACTCGGCTTTATCACTTACATTGAACACGGTGAGTCATTCACTGCTGTTTTTCTCCTGCTGAGATGCTCTGCTTCCCTTCCCTTATCTATTGTCTGATTTCTGCGCCAAAGCCAAGTCAGATAAAAATACTATTTTATGTATTTTATTGTTGCTCTTATTGTAAATAATAGCCACCTAGAATCACTTGACAATGAGATGGGTGGCTTATAAATTTAACAAATAAAAATAAATAACAAATATAATAGCTAAGAATTAAGATAACATCCAATGAAACATATTCCTTAAAAAGATGGGGGAAAAGCATTCTTCTAATATTCATACTAGAAAGATTTCGGTCAGCAAGTAAATTTTCAGCCACCACTTTAAAAAATGTGATGATAGTGCTCACTTTTCCACTTCCTCGCAGTTTTAATGTGGGCACCATCATCACAAAAACCTGCCTATTAAGAAATAGTAGTAGTAGTAGTAGTAGTAGTAGTAATAATAATAATAATAATAAAAGTTGGAAGGGACCTTGGAGGTCATCTAGTCCAACTCCCTGCTCAGGCAGGAAACCCTATACCATTTCAGACAAATGGCTGTCCAGTCTTGCCAGATAGCAACTTTCAGTGTCTTTAGTAGAACCTCCCTTGATAATTATTATTAGATTTTTATCTAATTTTTCATCTCTCTATCACGTCAGGTGGTTGGACTGAGATAGGACTGACCAAAGTCACTCAGCCAGCTTCTATACCTAAAGGAGACCTAGAACTCCCCATCTCTTGATTTCTAGGCCAGCACCTCCGCCACTATATCATACTGGCTCACAAGGCATCCAGATCTATCATTAATTATCCTGAAATGACCTAAGGACAAATGTCATTTTGCAATTCTGTGTACAATCTGTGGCAAAGCTTGGGTTTTTGCATTTTTCTCTCCTCCCTTTGGGAGGAAAAGGATATTCATATCCCAATATAGGAAATTTGTTTGAAGCAAGCATTCCTTAGTTAAGCAAACCAAAACTTAAAAGCCAAATCCTGGACAGCTGTGAGTACAATTTTGCTTGCCTGGTTTCCATTTAGTTCTCAGAAAGAGGTTGTCTGTCATCTTTGATGCCTGTATACTCTCCAAGAAGTGTCAGCCAGGATGCTCACATCGCCACAGCACGGTAAGTGTGTGCTGAAATGTCAAGGGATCAAACCCCCTCCCCTTTTACACCTCATGCTAGAATAATGTTCTAGCACGAGGTATGCAACTTTGACATTGTAGGACTGCATATGTCCCTTTGGTTTCTACAACTCATTGGCAAGAAATGGGTTCATACTTCTGTTGCTCATTGTCTCTCTCTCCAGTACAGGAGAGAGGAAAAGCAGAATGTCAGTGAAAGAATAAATATCCCTGCCCCCTTCTGACTCTGACCCTGTCCACTCCCTACTTCAACCTTGTCCCCTGCAACCTCAACTGATTGTGCCAAAGATTGTACCTTGCCTTCCTGATCCTGAAATCTCTTTCAGCTTTTGGGCCTGGAGATCATTGAAGCTTGACATGACAAGGCAACGTGTGGCTTCTTATATGAAGTCTCTTGACCAGGCTGTTTATGTTGGGGGTGTGGCGGGGTGGGGTAAATCCTGCTTGTTTACAGTTGGACTGAACCTCGGATGCTTCTTCTGCTACTACAGAATCTCTGGGTTCGTCTCCTCAACCTGCTCTTTGGGGCTCTTGCTGTCTTTCACTTGGCCTACTTAGGCTCATTATTTGATATGGATGCTGATGACTCTGTGGAAGAACAGGTGAGATAGCCAGGATAGCGGTGAGTGGCAGAATAGAAGTTTTAAGTGATAATTTGTCCTGGACGTATTTTTGGAGAGCAGTCCTAAAAAAAATGTACAGGTAAATGTACTGATGAAAAATCAGCTTTATGACTAGTCTTCGCATTTCTGCAGGTCTGTAAAGCAAAGGAAAGCTGAAGTAAGATTATAAACATAGTCATAGTTCCACTTAGTAACCACTATGCTTAACGACCATTCCTAGTCCCAATTGTGGTCATGAAACAAGGACTGCCTATATTATCTGAGACACCCTCACTCCTTTATTTTAACCTAACTGATCTCACAATGTGTGGATGTGCCACACAACAGCTAATCTCAACACCTATCTGCATGAGGATGGCAGCAAGCTTAGGGACCATCCACCAGAGCTTAATGAAATTTCCCCGCAAATTCGGAGGAACACAGAATCATCTCTGATCTGCCTTTCTCGTGATGTCTGAAGCCAGATCAGAGTGAAGGCAATATGCCATTGCCACACTGTGTGGTAGAGCAGACAAAGACAGTATCAAAAAATGGTGGGGATCATCACCATCGTCCAGACCACAGAGAGATACAGCTGGATCTCACCTACCAATGGTAATTGAATTGTCACTGACAGAGTTGTAAAATGCGAGGCAGTTACAGCAGTCCCAGTTGTTGTTAGGACACGGAGTTGTAGTGTCCTCGCAGTCATGTGACTGCCGCTGGCAGCTTCCTGCCAGCTTCTCTATTGACTTTGCTTGTCAGAAGCCAGCAGTGAAGGCTACAAAGGGCAGTCACGTGGTCTCAGGACACTGCAAGATCGTAACTGTGAATTAGTTGCGGGGTGCCCAGATTGTGATCCTGTGACTGCAGCACACATAGCAACAGCTGCATTTATAAGGATCATCGTAAGTTCCCTTTGCTAAGTTCCATTGTAACTTCAAAAGATCGTCAAACATTTGGTTGTTCAATGAGAAATGCCTATAATTAAAAAAAAAGAGGGGGTGGGGAAATTGAGTGATTTGTCAAGCTTTGTGTTGCCACCAAGTCACCTGCTTAAGTTAAAAATGTTCAGTTTAGAGCATTGTTTGTGCCTATTGGAGCACAGATTACAGCTACTTGGGTTGAGAGTTGCTCCCTTTCTGTAGTGGGTCACACATAAAATGATTTCCAATGTCTCATCTTAGAGGCTGCTCTTCACCTCAACCCCCCCCCATCCCATAGCTAACTTTTTTTTTTTTTCATGGAAGGCCAGAATAAGGTGACACTCTTATTTGGCCTAATTTTACTTGTGGCAACCAGCTCTCGGGAAACAAGCATTTATTAAGGATGCTGATATTAATTGGATAATCAAACCTTTGTTTATTACTTGCTTAAGACTGCACTAGATATTGCTGGTACCTATTGAAATGTAACTTCAATTGTCCTGAGGGATCAAAACTAAAAAACTGTAATAGTGACAGCAGTGACAGAAAAAGGAAATCCCTCAGTGCAATCGTGGAATAGGGGTAAAATCCCGCTAAGAAAGGCTCAGCCTTTCTGAACTTCAAGTGGCCATCATCTCCAGCTAGTCTGGAAACTACCAGGTCAAGTACCAACTTAGTGGAACTTGCCTGTGACAAAAGGCTAGGCCTGTATATTTATTTGGAAGGAGATTGTCTAAATTTTTCTCTGTCTGAACGAAAGCCTCTCCACCGTTGGGAGATGTCTGTGCCAGAATCTGACTTGGCTGATGTGCTGCTTTTCCCTCCAGGGCTATGGCATGTCTTATACCATCAACAAATGGTCTGAGCTGAGCTGGGCCAGCCACTGGGTGACCTTCGGGTGCTGGGTCTTCTATCGTCTCATCAGCTGAAGCAGGACCTTCCTGTGAACTTGAGGAGATGGAGCAGGGGATGGGTGGAGAGGCAGAACTGATAGACTCCTCATCTTCAAGAACATTGGATACCCACCATCGACTTGAGTGCCCTGGATATTGACCGATTCCTTCTTACTCTGGGATGCTGATGGAGGGAAGGAGCTCCCCAGTTGTGTGCCCTGAGGGGGGAGGAACATGCATCCCATGTAGACAAGGCTGGTTGAGTACCAAGGTATTCTCCTGAATACCTATAAAAAAAAAGCCTTTTCTTCCTTTCCCAACATGGTCTGGACTATAGTATCTATAATATTCTTCCACTGGCTTCCTGGGGCTTGTGGGAGTTGTTATCCAGAGGGTACCAGATTGCCAGTTCAGATCTTGTACACAATACCTCTTTGAGAAAAATCTGGCTCCTGTCAGGTCCTTGTTGACACTCCCTCTAGTGGCAATTGAACAAACAGCACCAGCTTTTCCTTCCTCTCTGAATTATTTTTACTGCATGTTTTGCCTCTTTTTGCTCTCTTGCGGCAGTACGTGGGAGCTGCACCCACTGCTTCCGAGGTACCCCTTGTTACTCCTTAATGGAATTCTGTCTTTAGTGTAAAGTCTGATGATTAGCCAATGGGAATCATGATGCTTTAAACTGCATTGAAGATGCTGTTGATTATCTTTAAAAGTAGGGCAGTTTGTGTAGCTGTAATAACTTTCTCTGTTTTACTTCTGAAGCCCTTGGATTTTTTTCAGACAATCATAACAGAAGCATTGTTGAGGCCATGGAGAAGAGGGCTGGAAAGACTGGGAAGGAGCACAAGCAATTCTAGCTAGGGATGATCCTCAAGAAGAGCTGAATCTTTTGAAATGTTCGCTATCTGAATCTATGGAATTCCTGTTCATTTCAATTTTTATCCACTGTTATATGGTGGCAGAAACTGGCAGCATTTTTTTTAATCAGAGTGTAGCTGCTCAGATACTTAATTCAGCAGTGCCAAATTTTGCACAGAAGCTTGAACTGCTCTAGTAATAGCATACAATTGATTTGGATTAACTAATATGGACTAAGCCTTGCTCCATAGTTTAGTGAATATATTGTGGATAAAGTGCCCACTAAGTGTTTAAAACAAAAAAGGAGGACAGGGAGAGGAGAACCATTGTGGCTTCTTGAGATATGTTACCCTCCTGTCTTTATAAATAAATCAAAAGCTTATTTGAGTGGGTTGGAGGAAGTATCCCCCAATTTCTGTTATGTGGTATTTACAAGCTAAGGATGGTATTGTTTCCTTTGTCACTAACAATGACAGGATCGCATGACAGGATCTCTCCTGAAATATATACAAGCTGTTTAGGTGGTATACTTCTCATGGGAAGGACCACCCTGTCATTGCAGCAAGGAATTAACCTTTAACCTGTTTTTGTCAAGGGGAGGCAAGATCAAGACTGGGAACAATAGGATCAGAACATTCAACATGGACAATGTCCAAGAATGGAAAGTTGGAACACTGAACAGTTCTCGAACTCTCTTCTCCTGTAAAAGAAAGCTAAATGCAAACAAGCCTTTTTCGTGGGGCAGATAGTCCTGGACTCGCAACCTTCATTTAGTCATTGTTCAAAAGGACAACAGCATTAAAAAAAAAAGTGACTTAGAATTAGTCACGTTTAAAACTTGTCACAACATCCCCTCAGTCCCATGATCAAAATTAGGCCACTTGGCAACCGGCATGTATTTATAATGGTTGTAGCATCCTGTGGTCATGAGGTCACCATTTGTGACCTTTGTGGACAGCTTCCAACCAGCAAAGTCAATGGGGGAAATTGGATTCGGTAAACGACCGTCTGATTCACTTAACTGCAGTGATTTGCTTAGCGGCCGGGGCAAAAGAAAGTTGTAAAATTGGGCATGATTTACTTCACCACCACCTGGCTTAGCAAAGGAAAATCTGGTCCCAGCTATTATCATAGGTTGAGGACTACCTGTACTATGGAATTCAGTTCTCTCCATTTGCAGGCCCAGCAGAAGAAGGTGGTAGAAGGTAGAAGGTGGTAGAAGGCAGAAGACCACTCCAGGTGTGAAGAAAGGTGTCCTTTTTGAAAATGGCTGCTCTTGTTTTTTTTTTTAAGTGTACATACTTTGAAATGAAATGAAATAATAGAAATGTGCCCAGCAGGGGATAAGCAGTACTTTTAAAATGGGGGGGGGGGGTACAGACAGTGGTGGGATTCAGCCAGTTCGCACCACTTCAGCAGAACCGATAGCTAATTTTTTGTTGCCCAGGCCCAGAATGGACTTCTGGAAGCGGCATCCACACAGAGAACCAGTTGTTCACATATTTGAATCCCACCACTGGGTACAGATCATTCAATGCTATCCGGAGCAATGCCATTTCTTCTACCTCATGGAGTATCCATAAAGCAGGACTAGCCTGTAGAACATCCTAGCAGAGACAGGTTTCTTGGCTGCATGATTTCAGATGACATGGGAGAGTTCGATCTTAACAGGCCAGATGAATTCAGATCATGAGAAGATATGCGGCAGAAGGCTGCACATGGAGTTTTCTCCGGTTTAAAAAATTAATGCTTGGATTTATAAAAGTTTGGAGAGCCATGTTCTGGAGGTCTAGTAGAGTCACTAGCTGAATCAGTTCGGGTAGGACAGGAGAGACAAACTAATGACACCTGACTCATTATTGGACAACAATATAAGTTCCTATCACCCTTTCTCTAACATGCTAGTTTATTATGTACGTTGCCATTTTCAAAAGTGCTTGTGTGAAAAAGCGACCTACACACCAACTACAAATGGAAGTATTAGTTTTCCCCCTTATCCAGATGTCCCCCCGAGGGTTGGACTTAAGGTTTCTTCCCACAGTTTTTATTTGCTGGCCAAGATACAATGCAATAATTTAAAAGGTTGCATTGTGATCTGAGTTTTGATCACCTTGCTACTCTTCCTTGCCTCTGTAAGGGCACAGCAGAATACATTTGCAACTGGATGCAAAAAATAAGGTCAAAGAGAATATTTTAGCAGACAATGCTTGTTTTTTGTCTGATACTGGTGCATGTTGAGCCTCTCTCTTCCATCCAGCTGTTTAAAACCCTGGATTCTGATTCCTTTTAGCATTTGTTTATCTGCTAATCCTTCTTCGGTTTTGGAGGAATCAAGACCTTGCTGGAATACAGTCTAGCTTCATTCCAAGTCTTTTTGTGGACTACACTGTCAAAATACCAGGATATGTCTTCTCTCCCTTGCCTGGGTGAAGCAGAAGATGCTATGGACCATAGGTAGACTATTAAATGACTGACTTTTCTTTTTTTAAAATATCTTTGATTTGTTTATAAAATAAATATTCAGTGGAAACAAATGGACAATTTTCTGATGTTTTACATGTTTTACTCTTTATAAATTTGTGTGATGTTTTCCTTTTGAGGAAAAGGCTGGTATGAAGTGTTCTATGAAAATTCTATGCAGTATTTTCCATTTATTTTAAATCTAATAATCCAATTTCCCCTTGTCTCAATATCTCCCTTTAGCCCACTAATTGACAGTTTAGGACAGTGGTTCTCAACCTGTGGGTCGGGACCCCTTTGGGGTCGAACGACAATATCACGGGGGTCACCAAACAACGCAGTCCGCCATTTTTTCCCCCTTTTCTTTAGCTATGCTACTCCCTTTTTTTCTATTGGCTTTTGAAAGCCAATAGAATAGACTCTCTTGAATAGAGTTTAATTCTGTTGGCTTTCAAAAGCCAATAGGAATTGTCCAGGCTGTCTCTGCCCTGCTGAGCCCGCCAAAAGTCCCATTCTGCAAACGGTGCTGCACCAGTTGAGTAGTCCTCGACTTACGACCAGTTGACTAGTCCTCGACTTACGACCGGTTGGGGGGGTCGCAGCATTAAAAAGGTTGAGAACCACTGGTTTAGGATGCTCTCTAGTAAGGCAAAAAGCCCCAGTTTTTCAACCAAATTCTAGCTTTCTTCTTTTGCCAACCAGGCTTCCATATCGGTGCTTTTAAATCATTGAATAAATCTCCATTCTTGTGTATATTACTTGAATTAAAGGAGACCATCGAATTGCCAATTTTCTAAAAGATCTAACCCATTTATAATCATTAGGTTATTGCCCTAGTAACCCAGATCCCTGTATTTGCTCTGGTATAGTTGTCTTCAATTCAGTCTGGTCGTCTTCTTTCTTAGGTTTCTTCTGATTTGTATAGAAAATCATTTCCAGTTTTATAGTAGGTTCTTTCATTGCAATCAGGGTTTCGCTTTGTAAATTTAAGCTGGCACCTTGGTCTTTCAGTCTAGTTTTGATTATCTCAGTGGCTTCAAGAATTTTTTCAAGTATAAGTTTAAACATAGCCAAAGTTTTTTGCTGCTCCTCCTCCATTTCTGACATGCTTATAGATGGTCTTTTAGTGAAAGCTATTTATTAAACAAGAGTCAGTAAGTATTCACCTCCACAATTCCTAGAAACCAATTTCACTGCCCAGCTGCTCTCTCAGTTTTTGATCTCTCTTAGATAACACCAAGGTCAGGTCCGGGCTATGAGCAAGTCTCTTTGTCAAAAGTAATAAATTGCTGCACCAAGCTTTGCCATAAGATGTCCCTGATAGCATTTAAAGTCTTTTTCAGATCCCAGGCTAGGTTTTTATCCAATTTAAGTTCTTTTTCTTCTTTTTTATAAGTAAATAATATAGCAGGTCCCCGTAAGAGTAGGAACTTTTTGGGTCCCCAAATTCCAAAAGGATGTAAATCCAATTATATTAAGTTATTCTTTCCAATGCTTTGTTTCCCCAGGTAGTCAACAGCACCATTTTAGAGAGTGAGAGGAAAAGGTTCCTTTCCCTCTCTCCTCACAGGGGGAAGAGTTTTGAGGAAGCTTTTAACAGAAAAAGTACTTGGGGTACAGAGAAGGTAAAAATCTCACCCTTTTTCTCCATGTTGCTTTCAAAGTGCTTGTTAGTGAATTTGGCTTTGGCTGTCAGCAGCCTAATGATGGGCCATGTTGATAGCCAATCTTTTCCCCATCACTTTGAAGACCTGCCCGGGATCAAACAGGAGGGCTGCCGCCCTTCCGCGATCACTCAGGGGTCCTCTTCACGCTCGTCGCCCCTACAGGGCGACTTCCGACCCTCTTCAGAGTCTCCTGGTGGGAAAAAAACAGACGGTAGAGAGAGCGATCGTTCTGCATGTCTGCCAGCGCTGCGATTGCAAACCGGAAGCCAAAGTATTTATAATTCTTGAGCGACAGCTGTCAGATACTATTTCCCAGTTTAAGCCATTCACTGACTAATTCAACATGGGAACAAAAGGAATCTTCAAGGCAAGTAGCTGAATCACTTTATATGGACAGAAGCAAGCTGTGAGCCCCTCTAACGCTACCTTCTACCTGATCTGAGAATAAGATTGAATATTTCCTGCAGAATCTCTATACTTCAATTTTATGAATGCTAGGTGTGGGGCCCTCCTTGCAGTCTTAACTGATCATAGCTGCAGGTATAAAAAGAAACAAATCTATATGGTCTACAGCAGGGCTCAGTTTAATACTGACTAGTATTAGTTGAGTCACTTGATCCTAATGACATTTATTTAGAAATACAATTTCCTGATTTAAAAAAAAAAACCATCATGAAGATAAAACTGCAGTCTTAATTTTAAGCTCATAGTTCAAGAGCTATGAATATTTAAAGAAGAGAATAACCACCATCAATTCAATCAATTAACTGAAAATGGAGAGAAACCACAGAAAATATCTAAACAAGTGCAGAGGAACAGGAGGAATACAAGATCAACCTCTGAATGGCTGGAAGTACCATCCAATATGACCTCCTGTGCAAAACATCAATGTTTCTTGACCTTGTTGGCATCCATTACTCTCTGGCAACCACTGAGGTGCTTCCAGGCATCCCAGGTGAGAATAGAGGGAATGATAATCCAGAGACTATTCAGAAAGACAAAGTAAAACCAGAAGTAGGTAGGGTGCCACTTCTCACTATGGTGAAAGCCATCACGGTATGCAGTGTAGAAGTAGAGAACGTCACCATATATATGACCTATGGTTAGAGATACACAACATGGCTGTTTAAAGTAGGAAGAAAAGATCAAAAGTGGACAAGCCAAAAAAGAAATGCAGTCAGGTGTATGGAACATTAACCAAGAATAAAAATTTTTAATTGCTTTTGAAAGATTGCATTAACATTTATATATCCTGACATACCTCCCTCCTTGTCTTGCATACCTACCTACTGACACCACTAGCTGCAGCACGTATCGATGGGACTGGCGTGAAAGAAATGCGACTGCAGTCCAAAGACAGAGGGGAGTCAAAACACAGAGAGTGACAGTTTCCACGCAAATTATAAAATTATCTGATCTGCAAATACATAAATGAAATGAATTTCACCTTGAGGTCCCAAAACATCCCAAGTTTCTTACAGTTCATTACATTCAATCTGGAGAGGGAGAAAGGGGATGATAGATTAGATAGATAGATAGATAGATAGATAGATAGATAGATAGATAGATAGATAGATAGATAGATAGATAGATAGATAGAGATGGATGGATGGATGGATGGATGGATGGATGCATAAAAATTCACAAAGATAATAAAACCACCTCAAGCCAAACTGCAGAATTTGATGCAAGTGAGGAGAGTGAACTGGTGCAAGTTCTTTCCATTCAAGCCTTGCCCATTTTATTTTCCCAAGCTCAATTATTATGGCTGAGGGGAAAAGAGAAAAAAAAAATGAATTAAAAATAAATGGGGAAAAGTAGAATTTAGCCATCCCTTGCAGATAAAATACTCATGCTCATCAACCAGATCGTCCATTGAGCTGGGGGAACCCCACTGATAATACTCATCTCAAAAGTTCATAAATATGAGACTGGAAAACAAATGTCATTCCCCGATATGCTCTTTTAAGGCATGAATAGAATTCAATGGGAGGTTTTTTTCTAAAATAATTTAGAAATATAAAAGATTCGGATCCTTAAAAAGAAATGCAGGAATTCTTTTAATTTTGTTGTACTCGTCCTATTAAAAAGTTGTCTTGGCAACAGAAAATATATTAAGAGAACTCATGCAAAAATTGTGAACATCTCAGCATTATGTCAAATCATTCTTTCCCTATCCCCGTACTCAGACCAGGTACTTGTGTTCAAAATTGCTTAATGCTGGATCTTTGCAGAAATATCCAGACCTTTGCCTATCATTTCAAAGTTAATACTTACATCATATATCTGCTGTCACCTTTGCCATATTCCTTCCCTGGAAGATATAAAGAAAAATTAGTAGAAAAAGAAATTCATGGGAACCGCAGTAGGGAGAGTTTGTGAATTTCCCTGTATTTTTCTTAAATATTAATTATAAAAGGATTGTGCACCACTTTAGATAAAAGGCAAATAGATGCTTGGAACATCCAGAGGTGCAGAAGTGACACCTGTCTCCAACTCCTTAAACCAAACACATCTGTTCTGAAATTTCCAAGTACTTCCTATTCTAGAAGGCAACATATAATGAATGTGAGATTATAAAGACCACATGAATGCTATCACGCCAATAAAACTTTCTAAATACATGAGGACTTACTTTAGGCTAAAATCATGCTTTTTGGTAACAAATGCAAATATTAAGAAACATACATTTTCACTTCTCACAGTTTTGATAATACTAGAAGGAATCAAATACTCTTAAATTCAGATGTAGTTATCGAATCTGAAGGTTTTAGTGTGTTGTATGTGTACCCCATTCATTATGGCTTATTCAGCAAACCATGGCAAAGCCAGATGTGCAAAGTGAATTATTGTGACTAATATAAAACATAATTTTTCTAATCTGATTTCTGCTTGCCTTATTGTTACAATTTCAAAGCATAGCATTATAGCTATATGTTTTTTACCTAGACTTTTATAAGGATTAAGTGATTTGATACTGCAGATTCTGTACTGCTGGCTCCAATTCCCAGGAACCGTTATGGGTAATGATCTTTCAGCTGACATACTATTATCACTTCTGCAAAAAATGCAGCTTTCTAGGTATATATATTAATATAAATATATAAACCAACTTGTCCACTTTGAAAACTTTCAGGTATGCTGGATTTCATTTCTCGTTTTCTCTCACATATGTGGAAAGCAGTAGGTTGAAGATGCTCCATGGATTAATCTCAACAAATAGTAACCTGTCTTCAATCAAACTTGTTTTATCTACAACAGATACTGTTACATCTTGTTGTTGATATACATGCTATATCTAATTGGACCATATTCTATGTGAAGGCTAATTCAGGAGTTTGGGGAAGAAAAAGGAAATAATTAGGGAACAGATTGGTTAAAGTGCTGGTCTAGAAAGCAGGAGACAGTGAGTGACTTTAGGCCTGTTAGTCTGTCAGGCTGAACCACTTCACACATAATTCTTTTGTGGAGTATTAGATATGGAGGATGGAGTATTAGATATGTTCACTGCCTTGAGTTGACACATACAGTGAGGTGAATTTTAAAAAATGTAATAATACAGATACAAAATGAGCTGAGCCATATGGCAAACATCTTCCAACCACTGAGGGAAATACAGAGGGTTACATCTGCAAAATATTAGTATCCTCTTACATATTTCAATTCAAGATGAGTTTTTCCCCCCAGGGCTCTCTTTAATGCTCTCCATCCAGCCAGCCTGGAGGGCAGACTGTAAAACTTTTCAATAAAACAGAGGTGATTCAAAAGCACAGGAGGGCACACATATGTTATTTGTGCAGTGCTTTATGTCAAATGCATTTTCTCAGCATCATGGTGCAGCTGCAGAGAGCAGCCAGGCAACCACAGGGGAAAATGCGTTGCTCTAAAGTAGTCCCTTTTCACATTCCATTGTCAAACCTTACTCAACCTAGCTCGCAAAACTTCTGCACCAAACGCTTCTCGTCTGTTCCCTAAACCCCCCCCCCAATAAATCCAGTAGCACCATCGGTAGGTATGGCAACAGATAAGTAACCCAGCCAATCAACATCTCCTATGACAAACGCAGGGCTCTTATAGGAGTTTTTTTGCTGTACCCGCGCAGCTAATGGGAACGTAGGCTCTGACATCATACAGTATTCTGGCAAACCAATTGATGGAACGTGGCTGAGGCTATGTGGACTCGTACATAGTCTTCACTGCCTTCTGGCGTGGTTTTCTGGTCAGTTGTGTCTCATTTACTTACTACTTATCTAACAAATCTATATAATCGCCCACCTACTCAAGGAATTATAACTCAGGGTTCAAGTAGCCATGGTTTATTGCATAAACTACCATGGCTGGGCGCACAATCAACTGATCATCCACTTTCATTCACACAACGCTTTAAAGCACAAATTTTCTTCAACATGTATACATTCTGTCTAAATAAACCATTGTTTAGCATCTGTGTCTCCGACAAGTGTGATAAAAAACCTGCAGTTATCCAGATCGAGGGTTAGTGTATTGCATGTTTTCTGAGCGCTTCCGATCGGGCTGTACTACCTGCCAACAAAAGGTGATGCGCTGGAGACTGGAAGGGTCCCTCTATTTCACAGCGCTCTGGCTGCAGTGCAATGTGGACGAGGGGCACGAAATTGCAGGCTAAGAGGGTTAGAGAGGCTGGGAACAAAGTCACCTTACAGAAATGGTATAGGGTTTCCTGCCTGAGCAGGGGGTTGGACTAAATGATCTCCAAGGTCCCTTCCAACTTTTATTATTATTGTTGTTGTTATGTAAGTTGGTGAGAAATAGATAAAACGTGTATCCTGAATATTAGACTTTGTGATGAATTGTGATAAAGGGAACTTTGGTTACTTAAAACCTGGAAACTATAAATATTAAATATTAAATTTAAATATTAATATTAATGGTGTTATGTGCTCCTGGCTACTTTCCTTTGTGACCAGAGGCAAGCTCGCCTGACCAATAACCAGCCAAGACACAGTGAAGGCCTTTTGTTTCGTTTATTGCAATAAGCGGGGAGAGAAGCTATCAAAGCTTGGTTCTCTCCAAAGTTTTAACCCAAAATATCTCCTTCTTTTATTCATCCCTATCACCGGCCGCTACAGCCCTCCTCTTTCCCCATTGGCTGAGGTAGTATGAGGTTACACTCTTTCCGTCCGCCTATACACATTTCCTGATAACATACTAAATCATATTCACATATACAATAAGAATAAGAAAAAATATTTTCTTATCGTTATTTTAAACTCAATATATTTATGTCTCCACAATAAGCTCTTTTCCTGCTTTTCTATTCATTGTGTCTCTCTTCTTATCTTATTTGGCATGGTTTCCTGCTTTCCTATACTTCCTGGTTAGCCATTTCCTTAAAAAAAAACAACTATTTATCTATTTTATTACTTCCCTCTTCCTTTCTCAGACCCAGCTATTTTTACCTCTATGGTTATCTTACTTCCTTAATGTTATCTCTTTCTGACTCTCACCATCTGTATTTTTAACTGACTGAAGATTTATCATATTGATGTATATTTATCAATCCCCCCTGTATTTCTGTATATTCTGATGAATCTTCATTTTTGGCTATATTAGATAACATAAATTTAATCTGTACATCTTTTCCAGAGATGTTTTTCGCTACTGACCCCAATGTTTTGGTGCAAAATGAAATACAGCAGGGTATACATTGGAGACAGACACAACACATAATACCTATCACAACTATAAACACTAGTCCTATAAATATTTGTTTTAACCATCCAAAATTGGGAAGCCAATTTGTTAACCAACTCCAATCACCCCACATATTTTCATACTTTTGTTCAGGAGCTTTGGCCACATTCCTGATTCCTTTTGCAATATCCATTCTGCTTCATGATTATCATCTATCTTTAAATCCCACAAACACATTTTTACCTTTATTTCCCAGGCTGTTCTGGTGTGTTGTCTTCAGTAATATTAGAAGTAGAATCCACCCCTCATGATTATTACACAGTATTTCACACCCACAAATTGATCCACAATTACAACAATAACAATAATCACTAGCTATTACAGAGGTAACACATCCACCACCTAATTCTTACAATGTACAATTCTACATTTTCAGTTTGTAATGGTGTGACTTCTGACTTAGTTATTCATTTTATTTGTAACAAACAACTTTTATTTCTCTGATGAGTCACCACCAACATCTTTGTTCTTCGTCTGGGGTCACCTGAAATTCTAATAAAGATATTCAAAATAGGTAGGGGTTCTGGTCCACTACCCATTCAAGTCCTTTTAAACGTGGCTTTCAGTCCTTGTCCTGGAATAACCGTTCAGCCTCTTTCAGGTCCAGTCACCACCTTTGCTCATGTGTAGTGAGTCCAACCCTTCTCAGCCCTCCGGACAGCAGATATAACAAGGAACTTCCTTTCTTTGGTTGTAGAAGTTCCTCCTTCCATTTACGATTCAGCACACACTGTCCCGGCTGGATTTTATGGACTGGAAATTCCAAAGGAGTTGTTTGCGCCACCAAGCCTTCCTGTCAAAGAGAAGACAGAGACCCCAGTACTTGTTCTACATTTAGCTATTTGTCTCCCTCCTTTGGGAGCCTTAACCCTTTATTAACCCTTTTACATATCAAACATCCTTCTGTAGCCCTTTGGGGTATCCCATAAATTCCAAGGGTAGCATAGAATTTCAAATACATTTCTACCTATGCTTTAATTCCCCAATGATTCCCCTCATATAGTTTTTGGATCACCATTCTTGCAGTATCTTGTAATAACCACAGAATCCCCTTAAGACCATTTTTGTTGTTTGGTAATTATAAATCTATATCCTTAATCCTTTTACTATCTATTTTCCTTTCCCCTTCAACTATAATATATATTCTAGATATTTTACCTCCTTTCATACCAACTGGGCTTTATTTGCTAGACACCCTCTTTCCTTTCTTCTGCCAAAAAGTTGCTTTCCCATTTCTTTATAATTCCCAGAATAAGATCTTACAAACCTGGGAAGCTACATAAAACTGTATTTGCTTCCACAGCTTAAAAGGGGAAGAAAGAAAAGAAAGAAAAAATCATTTGTCCTGTATCAGATAGACTACACTTGTCCATGGAAGCTCTATCAAAAATTGTCACATTTTTTTTCTCCTCCCCCTTTCACCCTGATTAGATACCATGCTACAAAAATATAACTCAATAAACTTATTGTAAATAACACATTCAGGATTTTAAAAGGTAAAGCACATAGGCTCACCAATTAGCATTGGGCCAACATTTCTGGAATGCCTTTGTCTCAGGCAAATAACATTCAAATCACTCTTGTGGCAGCACATCAAAGAACGCCAGGATAGCTAAGAAGACAAAAGATTGTCTCCCCCTTCCCCCACTCACTAAACCAGACAGAGTAAAAATTTATACAAAACTTTTGCTTGAAACAGCCCTCAGGAGGAAAATTGCCTTAACATTTACAAAAGTGGCTTGCCAATACCTCCCTCCTAGGGCTAAAAAATAAACCAGCCCCAAAACACTCAGCCAACCCTCATGGCTAAAGCAGGATTTGAACTCAAATCCAGCCTTGCAGCCTGGTTTTCTATAAAGATTTCCCTCCCCCTCCTTGGCTCCAAGGAAAAGGAAAACAAATTGTGCACACACAGTATGCAGCAATTAATCATCTTTTCTGCAATAGCAAGGAGTCCCAAAGACACATATTTATCAGATGTTAAATAAAACATCGTAAGATTGTTCCTTTGACAAGAATACCCTCAAATGCATTATTAAGGATAAATCCAAACTAAAATGCAAAGGAAAATCACTGAAGCATACCACACATACAAAAAGAGAATATCAGAGTTGAATGGGACATTAGAGGTCCTCTAGTCCAACCCCTTACTGAAACAGGAAACTCTATCCATTTCAGACCCTATCAATTTCTAACCTCCTCCCAAAAACCTCCAATAATGAAGCATCCACAATTTCTGGAGACAATTATCCCACTGATTAATTATCCTTACAGTCATGAAATTTTACCCATTTTCTGTTCTTTAAAAACACACATACACACAAACAAACATGCAGACAGAAACTGCCTCCCCCCTTTTTTCTTCTTCTTCTTTCTTCTTCTTTTTCTTCTTCTTTCTGCATCTCTTACTTTTCCAAGGCAGAAATTCTTGGGTTAAAAAAGTAACAAACTAAACATTTTTAAAAGGATTGCTCAAAAATTTCACCCCCCTTCAATAGCCCTTCCACCATGAGTTTTAAACCCATTCTTCCTTCCAATGTAATATTATACTGTTTCTGGTGAATTACTTCACCAGGGTTCTTTAAAGTCACCTTTAAAGGATCCATGTGTACCCCTCTTCTATTGCCCTCTTGGGCCCATATAAGAGGGTCCATTTTTCCTTGAGCTTCCTCACTCAAGGCCATAATGTTTACCATTATTTCCCTTTCATTTCCCATAATAACAATCCCCAATTTACCAATTAAGTACCCCCTGGCCAAATTGCAGCTCCCTTTAATCAATACAAAGTTCAGGTCCTTTTACTACTGTCTGGACCACAGCAGATTTAAATATTGTTGCTTCTACTACATGTCCATAATTCCCTGATCCTTAATCTTCCCTTTCCCAATTTGCATTCCTGGAGGTAAAAGTTCAGGGTAAATCAGGTGGTCCAGAATCCACCAAGTACACCCTTTCCTCCTCCAGGGATCCAACCTTTAAGGTTTATCAGGGGTTCCTAAAAAGCTGGACCAAAAAAACAGATTAGTCCCCTGACACCCCTAATCCTCAAAGTTCACCAAATTTGCTAGTTCTTCCCCCTCCTTCCTCTTAAGGTACCGTACTCATTTTCTCAGTGTCCTTCCTCCTTACAAAATGCACATTTATTTATTTAAGGACTGGGGAAAATTTTTCTCCTAGAGATTTATATCCCCTGGTGCCAACTGGCTGTCCTCACCCCCAGCCTGCCTTTCCTAATTACTCTTCCTCTTTGCTGGCCTGTTTGCAATAATTGAGCCATGATTGTTATCTTATCTTATGTTTATCTCTCTCCTCTTCTCACTTCGCATATACTTTCTGAGCCTCTTTTACCGCTAATAAATCTTCTATTGTTTTAGTTTTCCCTCTGTCTAATTTCTGCATTTGTACCCTAATACCTTCCCATGCTTTCCATTGGTCCTAAAAAAATTTCTAACCTGTTTTCCTACTTCAATAGGATCTTCTATTAGTTTGGGCAATTCTTTCCTAGATTGCCTGATTTCAAAAGCTGTTAGGGGGGACAATTCCCTCCCTTTGGAGAGAGGTTTTCTCCTCTCTTGTCACCTTCCAAACTATAGGAACCTCAAGAAATACATAGCTTTCTACTTAACTCTTTCACACAAAATAGCAGATCAGAGATCTCGCCTTTCATCCTGGCCAGGCATAAAACTTCATACAGCTCCTTTCTCTCTCTCTCTCTCCCTCTCTTCCATCTGATTATTTCCATTCTTTTAACACCTTCCATTGTCCTTCTAATTACTAAGAAACTACCCTTCTTCACCCTTTCTTGCTTTTACACCCGACACAAAAAAATTCCAAATGCTTCACCCCAGGCAAAATAATCATTCTTATTTTCAAGGAACTTTTTCAAAGCCAATGAGTTCCATCTCCCAAATTTCCTTTTGGAATAAGGCCTTGTTGTTTTATTGTATATTACTGTTAGAGGGTCTCTCCCTCCCCTCCCCCAGTTC